TATGGATGGCAAATCTTTATAGATAAATGATGATGTTGATTTTGATAATGATTTTGATTTGATGATTAAATTTTGTCGTCGTTGTCCAGTTTCGGGTGGTGACCCATGTACACACGGTAATAATGGCTGTTTTTTAATTAATATTTTTGGTTCCTTTTTTTTCATGATCATAAATACTGGTTTTGTTGTCAGCGTTTTCATTTTTGTTTTTTCCATACGAATTTTTCGCATACGATTATCATCACTATCGTTATCATCATTACCACCATCATCATCATCATCATCATCATCATTTTCATTGTTATCATTTTTATGTTTAATCATTGACATTCGGTAACGAAATAAATCACTTTTTTCTAATGGTTCTAATTTACTTTGTTCTAAATTTAATGGCTGTAATTCTCTTGATGGTAAATCGGATATCATTGATGGTGTCCATATGGTTGTTGTTGATTCATTAAAATTTGTATCATTATCATTATCATTATTATTATTATTATTAATATTTGTATTGATATTTGAATTATGAATATGATTCAAATTCATCAACGGTGTATTGGTTGTCAATGAAAAATCCACCATAGCCATATCATTGATGGTTTTTGTATTGCCAATTATATGGTTATCATCAATGGCTGTTTTAAAAGAATCAATTTTCGATTTGTTTTTTGATTTTGATTTTGATAATGATATTGATGATGGTGATTTTTCTTTTTTCATCATCATCATCATCATTTTCGTTGACAATGATTGTGATTGATTGGAATTTCGTCGAAACCATGATAATACCAATGGAGAAATAGCCATTGGTATTAAATGTTCAAATTTCATTATTTTTGGTTCATCATCAACATCATCACTATCATCATCGTTATAATTATCGTTGTTGTTGTTGTTGTTGTTTGATTCTTGATTGTCGTTGTTTGGATTTCTCGTTCTTCGCTGTAGATCATCATCATTATTGTGATCAAAACCGGACATGAATGGTGATGAATTCTGGGTCAACACTATGTTTGTTGTTGCTGTTGTTATTGTAATGAGCCGGAAATCAAATGTCATCGATCAAATTCAATATCAACAAAAACACGAAATGACCAAATAAATATCTGAAAAAAATTAATTAATTAATTATCGTTCCGATTAACCACCATAAAACAAAATTCTTTCATTGTGTTATTGTTGTCAAAAAAAAAAAAAAAAAAAGAAATGAAATCCACCAAGCACCAATCCAAGGAGAGAAACAACAAAAAAAAAAATTCCATTAAAACCAATTTTAGCAATTTCAAGAATTTCAAAATTTTTCTATTTGTTTTAATTAATTAAATCTAATCTAATTAGATAAAACTGAAATTAATTTTCAAAAAAAAAAAAAATTAACAAATAGTGAAGAAAAAAAAGATGAAATTTATAGTTATTGGCAATATAATCATTTTGTCGTCGTTAAGTGTTTGAACATCATGACAAAACAAAAAAAAAATTGTCAAATTGTCAAAAAAAAATATGAAAATTCCTTGATGATCATTATGACACACACAACCACACCCACCCACCCACACACACACACACACACATTATCAGACTAAACACGATTGAATTCGAATGATGGAGAATTTGTAGAAAAAAAAATTTACCGGAAAATTTCTCGATGAAAAAAAAAAAAAATTCATTTTACTTATTGATAAAGATATATATGTGGCAATGGTTCCGGTGATATATTGCTTCGAGAGAAAAAAAATCGATAATGTAATTAACTTTAGTGTTTTTAAACTCCTCTTCTCTCCCGAAACTAAACTAAAAAAAAATTCAATCTTATATTGAATTCTGCAATATCGATTCATATTCGAAAATTAATTTCAGCCACCACAACACATGTAAATCAACAACAACAACAACAACAAACGAATCTGTGTTCGCAAACACAAACACCGCCTATAATAATCAAGCAAATTTTTTTGTGTGTGTGTAAAAATAGACGCCACACAAAATTTTCCATTCACTTTGATTCATTCACACAAACAACATACAGGTAATATACATTAATCGATTGAATATTATTTTTTTTTTTGCGTCAATAAATTCTGGTTCGATTCTGGAATCGAAAAAAATGAAGCAAAAAAAAAATGATCCTGAAACACACACACACACAGACATAGACACACCAAATGTAAAAATCTACTCAAGTAATTCATGTCAATCGACATGAATTACTACTAATTACATATTAAAATTTGAAACTTAATAATAACATACACACACACACACACAACCATCCAATTTACCTTTATAGTTATTTTTTTTCTTGTCTTTTACCGGAAAAAAATTAGAAAGTGACGCAGTAGTAGTGGCGGTGGTGGTGGTGGTGGTAGCTTGATAATTTGCAATATGAAATTGTGAAAACTTTTTGCCAAAAAAAAAAAATATCACCTTGTCTGTAAATAAAAAAAAAAAAAAAATGAAATGATAGCAATTTGTTCAAGTATGTGTAGTACCTCACACACACATATTATCATTTGTTGTTAAGACAACCGGATAAAATTTATTATGTAATATAGCCACACACACACACACACACACACACAAAATTATTGTAGAATTTTCATTTTCATTTTCATCATTAACATATAATTAATTATATAAATGACGAATGAATTTACTTTACGAAATTTCTCTCTCTCTTTTTTTGTCTTGCGTCTTGGTGGATTCTGAATGATGAAATCTTTCATTATCACCATGAAACTTTGATTCATTCAATGAATTAAGATGAAATTTTTTAAATTTGCATATCAATTGTCAAATGTAATTGTAAATTGAAAAAAAAATTGTAATTGCCATTCAAGATGACGATCCTATCTATTTATCAAGTGTTTTTTTCTCCAAACATTTTATTCAACGATGACGATTGACGATTGTACGATGTGATAATAATAATGTTAATGGCTAAATTGACATTGTCACTTTGATCTGATCTTCTCAGTTTTTTTGTTTCTTTGGTCGTTTCTGGATTGGTTGATCGTTTTTGAATCAACGAAAAAAAAAATTTCGGTTCACTGGTTTCTTGGTCTATATTACAACTCCTCCTTGTTGTCCGCCATGTCGTTTTTTTTCCGTATGTCATTAATATATCCGTATACTATACACGAGAAAAAAAAAATTATCAATTCGCATGGGATATATATATATAGACATATCTATTCGAATGAATGGAAAATGAATTCGATTCGGAAATTTTCTTGTTTCGATAATAGAATTGGATAACAATAACCCAACCACCAAATAGCATGATAATAGTAGATCAAAAAAAAAAATACACCAGAAATGATGATATAATTATCGTAATAAACCGAATGAATCAATATTCATCATCCATATATAGATCAATATCATTTTCCTATGATAATCTTATCGAAATTATTCAATTCAACAATCATCAACGAATAAAGTTGAATGAAAATATTAATTGATCAATATTTTATACTCGATTTGTATTATATAAAAAATTATGAAGATAAAGGTCATAATTACCATTGATTGATTGATTGATTGATTGATTATTGTTATGATTATTACAAATGGATTTCGTAATCATTGATATTTTCTTTTCATTCGAATTGAATTATTTATAACAAAAAACAATTTTTCCACGAAAACATCAAGGAAAAACATTTTAATATTCTCTCTATATACGCTATTTCTATCCAGCCATGTCGACAATGTTAAAATATAACGACAAACGAAATTCGAACGCGAGAAAAAAAACGAAAATTTTTTTTTTCAAGAAAATTTGATTTTTTCATTTATTTAATATCCAACAATTTTTGTTTTTTTAATTACAAATTATTGAATAATTTTTGTAATAATAATAATAATAATTGACAATTAGAGAAAAGACAATTTTTTTTTCATTAATTATAATCATAATCGATGGATAAAATGATCTGATACAATTGTCAACAATTGTTCCATCATTCAATCATCATCTAAATATCACACACACACACACACATACATACAACATACCATCATTATTTTTGAATAAATTTTCTCACCAATTATATATGATTGTTTATGTGTTTTTGGGTAGTATTTATGTATATTGGTGTATTTGTGTTGAAACAAAAATCAATTCATATCGAATATTCGATCGCTATTATGAGTTTTTTTTAAGTGTATTTAGGGTGTTTGTGTGTGTGTGTGTGTGTGTGAAACAAATATATTAGTTAGATAAATAAAGACGGATGAAAATCAATAATAAAAATGAAGATGAAGATGATGATGATATGATTGACTTGTGTGGCTGAATTTTTTTTTCTTGAATTTTCTGTTCAATTTTTCTTCACATTTGTATATATAAAAAAAAGTTTCTGTAAATTTCATAATGATTCATATTCAGATAATGTTGTTGTAGTTGTTATTTTTTTTTTTGTAAGGATGATTTAAATGTATGAATGAATCAGATAATGAATGCTTGATTGATTGTTTTCAAAATTCAGAAATTTCTTCAAATATTCAAATAGGAAACAATCAACGATGATGGTGATGATGATGATGATGATGATTTGATTTTAAAGTGGATATATTCGATGGCCATTGATCATCATTTCAAATGTGTATGTGTGTGTGTATATGTGTGAATGGATAATAAAAATGAAATGAAAAACATAAAAAGAAACACAATTAGAATGAAGAAAAAAAATTTATCACAATCCAAGAGTTTTGTGAGAGGCGTGTGTGTGTGTGTGTGTGTGTGTAAGTGTAGGTGTGTTATGTTCATTCACTGTATGTTGGATATCAATGAATTTTTTTTTCTTGTTTAAATGGACACATGTATTTGATGATGAAATTATTAAAATGGTTTGTCTTAAATAAAAACATCCCTAAACAGATTTAGTTGTGTGTGTGTGTGTTTGTGTATTTCATCAATTTTTTTTCAAAGTAATTAGTTTTTGTTTAAAAACTACCTTAAGGTTTTTTTTCAGGTTTGTAATAATAATATAATATAATAAACACATGACAATGACAATTTATATATTAATTAATCAATTCAATCATTCAGCCCCATTTTTCGTTCATTGTTTTGTATCTTTTTCTGGATCATGAAATAATTCTTCTATAGTTGAGCTATATTTTGATTTAATCATACTACGTTTCAATTTCATTGCAGCTGTTAACATTCCATTATCCGGTGACCATTCATCCGATAGAATACGTATTTTTGTTGGTATTTCAGCTTTTTTCAATCCATTCTTTAAGCCTGATTCACGTAATGACTTGAGAACAATTTTCACTAGACGTTCATCATCGTTTGCTTCCGAACGTGGAACTCGATATGATTTAGCTAAACGACCAAATCGATTTGCATTGGGTATGATTAAGGCCACCAAGTAGTTAGCCAATGCATTGCCGAATACACATATATTATCGATATAGCTACAATTTTTGAGTATTGATTCAATCTAACAAAGTGAAAAAATGGTGATTAAACCTTGAATAAAAATCAACAAATACAAAACATACCTTTCCAAGAGAGAAATATTCACCATTGGCCAGTTTAACTAGATCTTTTTTACGGTCTATAATTTTGAATGTACCATCTGGATGTAATTCGGCTATATCACCAGTACGGAACCAAGTGATACCTAGACGGTCATCTTTTTCATATAATTCGGCTGTCATTTCTGGTTTTTTTAGATAACCAAGCGAATTGGCTTTCGAACCGATCATTAGTTCGCCACGAGGATATGGTTTATCCGTTACACGATAATCACCTTCGACCCAATCATCAAGTTTTGCATGTACACCATGTAAAGGTCGACCACAACGGCCATATGAGAGATCATCTTCGTCCATACAAATACATGCGCCCAACGTCTCAGTCATACCATAACCTTGTACCAATTTCACATCTAAGGCGGCTTTGATCAAAGCTTGTAGACTGGCTGATAATGGTGCACCACCAAGAATCAATAAATGTAACTGACCGCCAAATTGTTCGCGAATTTTTTTACATAATAATTTATTCACAACTGGTGTTTTATATCCTATTGTTATTGTAAGAAAGAATTTAAAAATGATTCAAACAATCATCATCAATGATTTTAAAACGCTTACCTTTCTGTGTCCATCTAATTTTATAATCCATCAAATAATTAAATAATGGAGATGAAATTGGAGATCGTGCTTCAAGTTTTGTATATATCTCTTTACGCATTCGTTCCAATACTAATGGTACGGCAATCATAATGGTAGGCTTCAATAGACGCAGATCAGATTCTGTTCCATTTGCCAGACCTGGTGCAGAATCGGTCAATGTGAAAGGATTAGCAAAACCAATGGGTGCTCCCAATGCCAATGCTAAAAATTCACATGTTGCTTCGAATATATGGGCTTGTGGAAGATAGGCAACATACATTTCTTCATGAGCACGTCCAATTGCATTTTTCAACACCGGTAATATCGTACGCATTAGATGAATCATTTGTGACGATGTAGCTTGAACACCTTTCGGTATACCAGTTGTTCCCGATGTATACACTATCAAATTCAAGTTGAAAAAATTCATTAGTAATTATTATAAACAATTTTCAATAACCACATACTTATATAAGAAATTTCATCTTTTCCCAATGGTCTACATTGATCTTCAACTTCAGCACCACGAGTTCGTCCTTCATTTTCGATTGTTTCCAATGATACAAATTGTGTTTCACCAATAGGCTTGATCAATTCGGCTGCTTCTTGATCCATTTCTTCGGTTACATGTTCCACACGACGATTAATGTAGATAACTTTGTTAATGACGAAATCGTTAGCCGAAATAATCGATCGTACTTTAGGCAATAATTCCCATGATGTGAAAATATATTTCGAATTCGTTTCTCGTATGGCATGAGCAATACCTGAATCACCAAGCGTAGCAAAAACATTTACCTGTACGGTACCGGCGCGTGCAATAGCCAATTGAACCATAAAATATTCGGCACAAGTTTCACAAAGTATAACAATCGGTTCATTGCGTTTAATACCAGCCAAATGAAAACCGTGAGCCATATTATTTTTTCGTTCGATCATCTTTTCAAATGTGATCCATTCATAATCGGCCAGTTCAAGTTTTTTTACCGTACGGCCATCGATACGTAATGGTGTTTTGCCATCTGGACCAGAAACAACATATTCTTTGATCACACGACGTGATCCAAGGGCACGATTTTTTAACGAGAAATATTCACCAATATATTCACAAACATCATCCATTTTCTCACATTTATCCAATACGAATGGCCATTTTTCGGGAAACATACCGACCCATGGTGATTTGGGATCTTCGGGATCCATCTGTTTCGATCGAATCATTTTGGATTTTTCCACTACTTCAAATGGTTTTTGTATGTAGAAATAGATTGGCCATGAAATATAGGTATATAGGGTGACAATCAAATGTACCAGCAAAATGAAAAAACCTTTAAGAAGTTTAACAGTAATATCGGCTGGAACTTTGAATGCACTAGGACCCGTTGGTGTTGAATGGGTCGCTGTTGTTGTTGCAGTTGTTGAAGCCGGTAAAGGAGTCGTTGGCTGCGAATCAACATTCGATTTAACAGTTTCATCATATTTAACGTTTGATAATTCACCATTAATCATTTTTGTTAAAACTTTTTTACCACCATTAGCCATCATTGTTGAATGATTATGATGTCCATTTGGAACATTGTAATTCTTATTATTGTTATTATTATTATTATTCATTGAATCAGCTGAAACGGGTGTTGACGGTTTAGACACAGTTCCATTCATGATTACGGCTGCTGTTGCTGATTGTTCAGTACCATTCATCACAAGTGTTGTTGACGGTGGTGTTGTCGTTAAGCCTGGTGTTGATGAGGCTGTCATCGTCTTTATATCCACTCGATTATTATAATGATATAATTTGGCTAATATCTTCTTTATCTTTTCGTTATAAATTTTTATTTGTAGGTTCACTGTTTTTTTTTTGTTTCTTCGAAAATCAAATAAATAATTTCACTGAAAAAAACGATGATGATGATGATGATACGACGAAGATGAATATATAAATATCTTATCTTGTTATAATAATGAATTTATTTTCGTCTTCGTCGTTTATAATGATCGAAATTGAATCGATAAATCACAGGGCAAAATTTTTTTTCTCCGATTCAAATCAGAAACGAAGTTTTTATTTCTTCTTTTCACTAAAAACGCGTGTGTGTGTATGTATGTATGCAGATAAACTTGAAACTTGATCGATTCGATCGATCGAATGAATTGATTGATTGATTTGATCGTGAATTAATTAGGTCTAATAATAAGCAACAAAATTAAAAAAAATGACAGTAATCAGACCATTCGAACAATCAGGCAAATATTAAAGTCGAATAAAAATTTTTTTCTTCTCTGCGTTATCGACGACTAGATTTTTCGATTTGATTTGACTTGAAAAAAAATTCAATAAATTTGCAGAAATTAAGAAAAAAGTTACTTATTTGCAATCCAAATTCGAACTTGAAACTAAAGAAAATTCAATTATTATTACAGTTCAATTATCAACCAATATATATCACACCAGCAAATTTGAACTGCGAATTTGTGAAATGGCTGTTGTTGTTTTTTTCAATGTAAAAAGCGTGGTTCAATTATCAACCAACCAATAATAATGTGATGATACGGTTTAATATGTTCAATCTAACCGAAACGAATAATGATTGAGTAACCAAAATTTCAATCAATGTTTATATACATACACGTTGTGTGTGTGTATGTGTTTGGGGATGTGTGGTTAATATTTGCTTCGCTGACGATGTTAACGACAATGATGATTATGAAATAACTTGAACAACGTACATCCGATTGTTTTTTCGAATGGCTATGTTTATAGAAAATGAATGGGAAAAAATTCCAAACACTGATAATACTGGCTTTTGCTGTTTATAGTGGCGTCAGATTCTATCCTTTTTATTTTCACTGGTAATAGAAAATGACTTTCTGCAACAAGTTGTTTAATAATAATAATGATGATGATGATGATGATGATGATGATGATGATGATGAGGATGAGGATGAGGATGATGACGTATTCATTACACCCGACAATTGATGAGGATGATAATTACGACGATTATTGCAATGTTGAGATTACGACAATGCCAAAGTATTATTATCAATCAATAGTAATAAAGATAATATAAAAAAGTGCGAGGGAGGGAGGAAGAGAGAAAAAACCAATAACATTGAATTAGAAAAATTTCAATTTCAAATCAAAAAATTTTACGTATTAAAAAGAAAGTTTTTTTTGACGTAAAAAGGGTAAAAGGTATTATTTTTTGCCATCAATCAATCAATTACAAATAGCAAAAAAAAAGACCAAAGGAAAATTTATGAGGAATTTTATCAAATAATTGGACAAGGAAAACAAACAAAAAAGTTAATTGAATCGAATCCAAACGAAATGTGTGCGTGTATGTGTTTTGTATGGTGAATGTGGTAATAAATGATAAAATTCGATATATATAGTTATCAATCGATTGTCAACTATTATGACACTGGAATCGAACACATCAATGATCTATTTGATTGATATTAAGATGTTATTTTATGAAATTCAAAACTTCAAACTGTTTAGCTACGATATCTAAATGAATAAATGATAATTATTTGAGTGATAATTAATATATTGTCAATCATAAATCATCAATAATTATACATAGCAAAAAAAAAAAAAAATCGCGTGATTATCATGTTATAAAGTATCATGAGATTATGACGTTACATGAGATTGTCTGTAGCAGTATATAAAAAGGCGAGAGAAAAGAGAAAAACTAAATGCTAAATATGAATCGACAACAAAATTGAATTCATCCAGTCAGTCAAACTAAATTAATAGAAATTAATTGAAATTTTCAAGTTCAAGTGTTCTAGAGAGAATGAATATACAAAAAAATGACCAAGTATCTAATCATTATTGCTATTATCGGAAATACTTTTTCCTGTATTCATGAGAATCGATCATCATCAAATTCTCATTTACACTATATTGTTGTATTATTATAGTAGAGGCAATCAAATTCAGTCTCATTTTTCTGTGCACTAAAATTGTCAAAAAAAAAATTTCCTTTTAATGGAAAAAATTTCCATAAATCAACTAAAATTATACGGGGCATTTCAAGATGAATTGATTTGAGTAAATGATGATAAATTATTGAACAAAACTATAGAAATAAAAAGCGAAAAAAATTAAAACGACCCTTTAAAAAAATCCTAAAGGTCAGCATAACAGATAGATAATCGATATTTAACAATCAACTATATGGGTAAATCATTCGAATCGAATCTAATAGCAACTATCGATTTTTCACTGAGCGTAATTCGATATATCGATAATCTTTACAAACATCATAAATAAATACACTATAAATAAATCACAAACACTCATTTACATCTCAAGCATCTAATGATAAATGTCAATAGTGTGTGTGTGTGATTGAAAAAAATGGAAATAATAATTGACAATGATGAAAAAGGTGTTAAATATGTGATTCATTGTTTCCGATAACAAACTATGATTAGTTAAAAAATTTAAAAAAAACATGACCAAATATGACACGTGCGGTACACACGAATCGATAGTTTGTTTGATTAACAAAAATAATACAAACAAGAATTGAAAATTATTTTGTTCAATAGACAGGATGATGATAAAAAAAAAAGAATAGAAAAAATGCGTACCTTTCTCTTACCTTTTGTTCAAATAATAAATAAAAACCGTTTTTTTGTTCAAAGTCAACTAAAAACAATGATAAATGAATGAATGATGATGACAAGTGAAAAAAAAGACAATTATTATCGAAAGGCTGGAATGTCGATGAACTGATTTGATGATGAAAATATAAAATGTTTTTTTGTTGAAAATTGAAAATATAATCATCAAATCAAATGATGACAATAAATGGCCAAACGATCATCAAATTGAATGAATTAGTTCTATTGGTGGTATTTATTGTAAACAAAAATTGGTCAATAGCACAATGACAATGATTAACGTGCATCTAAATGTTGTACGTGTATGTTATAGTATACTAAGAGGATGATGATTGATACGACGTATTATTTACAAACACAAACGAGATTTTTTTTTGTCAAAAATACAATGATGATTAAAATTTTGTTCGGTTTTTTTTTTTTATTTGATGATGGGTTTTTTTTCTCACATATAAATTTACAAATCATTCGATTGATGATGATTGTATATTGTACTCGTGTGCATTAATTGTTGTTGTTGTTGCTGATGATGATGATGTTGATCTATGAGTAATGTAAACACATAATAAAAAGATGAAAGAGGGAGTGTGATGAGAAAAAAAATATTAAAAAAAAAATTTTAGCAAAATTTCAACAACCGATTAGAAAAAAAACGATGAAAACACCGTCATTATTTTTCATCGTCATAATCATTTGGTAGTTACCATTATTTCATCATCATTCTATTCATTGTTTTTTGTTGTTGTTGATATTTTGTCGTTCAAATTTAGCTCCTTGAATTCTCATCATCATCATATCACATCATATAATCATGAAATTTTGATGTTATCGAAAACACGGGCACAGAAATCGTTACAGATATGGACACGGCACACACACACCTATCTACAATGTAAATCAAAAATCAGATTATTTTATTATTTTTTATTTTTGATTGATTAGATTTACATTTATATTTTTATTGATAACAAGATTCTCAGTTATTTTTTTTATTATATGACGATTATAATGTAAACGTATGTGTCGAATGTTTTTTTTTTCAATGTGCATTGATGATGATGATGATGACGGTGAGGATGAGGATGAGGATGTTGTATGTGTGTATGAGAAAAAGAAAAAAAAAGAAGAGCGGGAATACCGAATGTGGGAAGAATAAAAGAAAGAGAGCAATGAGAGAAAAAAAGTAGTAGCAGTAGCATAGTAGTAGTAGCATTAAAATATGTCGATTTACAAACAAACATACAAAAAAAAAAAATTCTTTCTCCTCATCAACAAATAACATTTATCGTTATAGAATTCTACTACCCCAATTTATTTTTTTTTTTTTAGAAATCGGATGATTTTTGTCATCATCATCACCATCATTATATATATATATTAGCAGCATGCATTCATAAATATCATATATATTCATATATACCGGTATATAACACAAACAAACATCCATCGATACATACCACTACTACTACTACTACAACTACTACTTTCATATATTGGCTGTTAACACCACCGGTGTGTTTTTGTCTAATCAGGGGTGAGATAAATAGCAAAAAAAAAAAAAAAAAAAAAATAAACAGACAAGCCATTAGAATGGGCGATGGGTGGATGATGATGATGATGATGATCATTATTTAAGAAAAAAAAAATCGCGTGAGTTAAGCTCCTCCTACTTTTCGAACGATACACACACACACACACAATTGCCAAAGACAGACAGACAGACTGACAGACAATGATGATCATGATGATAATAATGAAATCGGATACAAAACTAATCCGGTCGTGTTGTAAAATTATATTATTACATATCATACAATAATCGAAAAAGAAAACTGTTTATTCTAAATAGCCGGAAATGATTGAAGAAATCATCAATATATAAATTGTTGTTACTGTCGTTGTCGTCTACAATCAAACTATTATTATTAACAAACAACGGAAACATTGTCTATTATCGGATAGTATAGAATTTTATTTTTCAAAATGTACTTGAAAATGATGAAAATTTTCTTTTCTTTTTTTTGTTGAAATTCTATCTTTTTGTTGTTATCAACTGATGATCATGAATCATATATCAAGGTTTATAATTACCATGAATGAATGAATGAATGGGGTGATGAAAACGACAAAGCGAGTGCAAGAAAAAAAAAGACCATGAATCAAGAAAAAAAAATCAAGGAGAAAAGAGTTATCTCAATATCAATATCAATATCTGATTCATCTTTTTTTTTCGTTTTACCTGCCTGCTACAAATACATAGCTGTGAAAAAAAAATATTTTGACCTCAAACGTTGTTGTTGTTGTTCCTGAAACATTTTTTTTTATTTGTAAATAGTTGCAATTGGTTGCAATCAATCGATATGATGATCATATCATCTTAGAGAAAAAAAAATGAAAAACACAACTTAACCACTTTTTTTCTGTGATATGTGACCGGAGGCCATTAACATCTCTTTTTAAAATTTCTTAATGAAAATTTTTTCTCCATTTTCAACAAAAAAAATTAGTCTTTTTCCTCTTGGCCTTTCTTTTTTTCCTCCCTCTCTCTCCATCCCCCCCGCTCGCCAACAAACAATGATCCAAATTTGACCGAAACAATTTTTTTTTTCTTTTCGCGATCATCAAACAATCTGGAACAATGAACTGATGATGATGGTGATGGTGTTTAAAAAAAAATGCTGATTTTTTTTTCTTGTGTTCCATGAAACGGGAACTTGTTTCAGGAAACAACAACAACAGAAAATTGGAAGGAAAAAAAAACAGGTTTCATAGTCAAAAAAAAGGCGCCATTCACGATCGACATTATCATCATCATATATAAGGTGAATAATAATGATGATGATGATGATGATAATAATGTTTGACAACTTGTTGCTTTTTTATCTTGAACTTTAAAAATTTTCTTCTTCATTAACTTTTGTTTTCGATCCATGTATTTAGATAGATATAAAAAAAAATGACATTGTACAATTATTGGAACACTTTTTTGAGGGGGAAAAAATTGTTGAAACAAGTTACCTGTGTGTGTGTGTGTGTGCGTAAAACTTGGGTATTCACGACAAAAAAATTGAGTTTGAATATTGTTGATTTTTTTTTTGACGGGCTCCATATAATTCATTCATTCGAACGACAATAATGTTATTCAATCAATTTTGAAATTGAAAAACAATTTTTTTAATCGATAATAATTGTCTTTGAAACCAGAAAAAAAATTGATATTGCCATCGATTATCACATTATTATCTTGTGTTCTTTGTTCAAATCGATACGATCATTAAAAAAAAAAAATTTTTTTCATTCAACAAATACAATTACACACATTCATTATTTCATCAATCGAATTATGAAGAAAAAAAATTTTTTTTTTGAAGGAAAATAGGGGATATGATTTATCGATCAATCAACCAGTGGTGGTGGTGGTGTTTCTCATCTTTACAAAAATGCTTCATGATTGAATAATTGATTCTTTTTGTTGGAAATTTTCTGACCAGAGAAAAAAAGATATTTCATTATTATTATTATGGCCAACATCATTGATATAGCTAATTATTTACTTACCTTTTTTTCCGTGTCTACTAAACATAGAGAAAAAGGAAAAGTTTCTTACACAAATGATCATAGATTCATTCAAAGAAAATGGTGATGGTTTCTTTTTTGGAAAAAATTTTTAATTATCAATTCTTTTTTTCCCAAGAAAAAAAAATTGAACATCCATCATTAATCGATTGACCAAATATGACAGCTATACACACATTATACACACTGGATAATATTCGAAATTCGAATCCTTGAATTCAAGGGTAGATTCCCGAAAAAAATTTTCTTTTATCATTCGCTCAACGTTTGAATGAAAATTTTCCCCATTTCAATTTCCCAGTATTATTCGTTTGAGGAAAGAATCGATTTTTGACTTTCTTAATAATAATTCATTATCATTCGCAAACAAATCAATTCAATTCCAATATATCAGAATAAAGAAAAAAAAAACAAACAAACATAAGTGAAAAACATTTCATCATCAATGAAAATGTTATTTTTTAATTTTTATTTTTCATTTTTTTTCATGAATTAGAATTTTTCCTCAATTGTTTATTTGTTTGTTTTGTTGTTGTTGTTATTGTTGTTGTTGATGAAGATGATGATGTTTGTCAACAATTAAATCGATTGTTGTTTCTCTTTATCTATTGTGTGTGTATATGCGGGAAAAATTGTGCATAAACAATTTACCATTATGAACAGAAAAAAAACAATCTGTAAAAAAACAAAACAAAAAAAAAACATAAATCTGATCAAAAAAAAAATTACAAGAAATTTAAAACGGTTACCAATCATCATAAAACACAAATTCATTGGAATCATGTTTGATAGACATTTATTGAATTCAATAATCAGAATCAATGACAATAAAATGGTTGAAAAGCCACTTGATTATTGGAATTTCGATTTAAAAAAAAATTAATTAATTAATTGATAAATAAATGATTCAATTCAATGTTGAAATTTTATGGTTATATTCAATTTAGGGTTAAATTTTTTTTTTAAACTTTGCTCCTAAAATTTTAACCAGCAATTCATTGTTCATGGAACATAGCTACTGCTGCTGCCATATATTGGCCATTGATCAAAGCTATTATGTCCATATGTTGTGCTATTTACTTTGCTAGACATTATTTTTGTATACAAAAACTTGAAATTGGCAGAGAAAGAGATTCTTTACAAATATAATCATCACAACATCATGTTACGAATAAAAGCATTAAATGATAATCAATCAGAATCATCAAATTCATCCGATGATTCTGATTATCAAACAACAAAAGAAGCCGAAGAAGAAGAATTAAATGATCTTTATATTAATGCATTGAAATATGCTGCAAATGGTAATGTTGATGAAGCAGAAAATCTATTATTACAATTAAAAGAAGAATTAGAAATCGATAATCCACCAAAAATTAAAGATGCATTCCTATTGAAACGTTTAAAATATTTAACATATAAAAATCTTGGCCTTTTTAAAAATGATCTTAATTATATATTCGATGCATTGGAAATCGATGATACCGATATTAATCTATGGTTAACTTGTGGTAGAAAATCTCGTGATCAAATGAATTATCTGATGGCTAAACGTTGTTTTGAACAGGCATTCAATTATAATCCATCAAATTATGTTGCCATCGATAATCTTATTGATCTATATTTTATCACCGAAAATCTTTATCGTTGTGTTAATGTTTGTCTACGTGGTTTAGAAGTAAACAATGATTATTTCAAAGCAAAAATCATATTAAATGAATGTATTCGTTTAATGCCACCAATAATCAACGATATGAATAATGAACATAAATCATTGATTACCGTAGCTTTAGGTGGTGAAAGCCATGAATTCGATGTGAATGAACAATTGATCAAACTTGTTCCTCAAATTATACAGCCATTAGAACAATTAAAATCGGAATATTTTCGCCGCTGTAATTATCATGATGAATATAATCGTTCGAATAAACGAAAAAAATTACAATTAAATCTAAATCAAATTGAACATTCAACATTTGAAAAAATTGGACAAGAAATTAAAACAATGTATGATTACATACAACAACAACCACAATCGAATGTTTGTGCAACTATTGTCATTCAATTTGATGATAATCATAATAATAATAATAAAATTAATGCTGATAATGATCCAAGTCAACATTCAACAACAACGACAAGTAATCCAGAAATTGATAACGACACATCGATGATGATCGATGGTGAAAAGTTGAAAAATCAACAACAACAACAACAACAACAACATCGAACAATGTTGAACAACATAAACAAAATGAAAAACAATTACTTTATGAATATGCAGATAAAAGACGATCATCACGTGTGAAAACAAAAAGTCGAACTGTCGATTCGGAGGATGAACAAAATGCATTTGAAACATTGTTTAATTTGATACCTGAATCTATGAAAAATGATAATCTATCAGCCAAATCTACAACAACATTTGAAACGGAAAATATTTCAAGCAATTCGATTAGCATAACTGAAAATATGAATATCAATAGATTAATCGAATTGGAAGCTGTCGAAGCTTTTTATGAAAAATTTAAAACTTATCATTCACAATCAAATGATAGTATGATGAATATATTGGATATAATTGATTTTTATTTAATTGAAGTTTCGAAAATTAAAAATCTAACTATACCACGAATCTTTATGACATTGTATAGGATACACAGGTAATGTTCCCATTTATTGTTTTTGGTAATAGTAATTAATAATTTTTTTAAATTACAGAGAACAAAATCAACTTCCAGTCGGAATACTGTGTCATATTGGTCGTGATATTACCATCGATATGATATTTGTTTGTTTGGTAGCTAATGAAATTGAATATCAACGACAGGAAACATTGTTTCTCAAAGAGATTCTTATTAAACTCTATTTTCATCTTGACATAAATGAATATCGTTGTTTTTTGATTCGATTTTTTGTCCTTGGTGGTTCAAAAGAATTGAACATCGATTATCTACATTATGCATTGGATTTTTGTCAAAATGATTCCCGATATTTTGCATATTTTGCTATGGGTGCTCATTTTTCTGGTCTGTATATCTTTTATTGATAATTATAAACAAAGTTAAATTTATTCGATTATTTCATTTTGATCAGATAACGAACCATCGACAATGAATGAAACGTTCGAAGTGATTGCTTCAAACAAATTACGAATTAATGAACAATACATACAAACATTGATCGATATGCAAGGTGTTTCACAATTGAATGATGATGATCATAATTATGTCGAAATCATACGGTTATGTTTTACGAAAAATGAAAGTGAACTAACTAATGATGAAAAACGACAACTATACGAAGCAATACTCAAAGCTCAAATATGGCAAAAAGCAATTGAATTTTTTGAAAATTGGTCACATTTTAATGATGAATGTTTTGAAATTATCTTACGATGTGTGACAGCAACCGATGGTAAAAAAGGTCAATTAACCGGTAAATTATTAAGAAAAATAGTCAAATGTGCTACCGAAGGTAATTCAGTTTTACCCTGGCTCATATTGAATGCAACTCTTGTTGAAGCGATTGGAAAATCCGCGGACGATGATTCATCATCGTCATTGATAAAATTCTTTAAAATGGGCCATAATATTCTTGGTCGTCGAGGCCTCTGTATTGATCGTGATGGACAATTTCTTTTGGCTGCTCAAAAAGTTTTCACTGATAATGATATCGATGAAGAAGCGCTTCTTTGTTTCTCTTGTTTGTTTAATTTTCCACCACAAAAAAATCTTTCACCACAAGAATGTCATACATCGGCACATATTGGTCTCAAATGGGAACATTGTCCTGATATTTATCTATATTTTGTTCCTGATTTAATGCCCGAATTCGATAGTAATGCACGACAAACGGGTATTACATTTGAAACTAAAGAATTTTTTCTAAAAATTCTCAGTCTAATACCAGAAGAAGAAAAGCCCAAACGTACGCTTGAGATTAACAATTACATTAAACGTGGTACACCATTATTTGGAGCGATCACGACAGAAACGAATACCGTAACATCGACATTGTACTATTTGTTGGCTGACCATTATTTTAAGACCAAAGATTTTGCAAAAGCTAAATATTTCTACATCAATGATCTTTCTTTGAATGTTGATCGATTTGATTCATGGGCCGGATTGGCATTATCCATTAATTATCAAGTGGATCAGATGCTCATCGAAGGTATCACTACTAATGGCGAGAAATTTCATCAGACAGCATATTCAGCAATCAAATGTTTTGAACAGGCCCTACGTCTTCAACCGGATAATAGTAAATTATGGATCGAATATGGTATACTATGTTATAATGTAGCAAGTAATTGGTCACGATTAAGGAAAAGAATTACGGTTTTTGGTGATAATCATCCGGAATTGATTATAAGTGAAAATAATTTCTTCCAATATGAAGATGTTTTGGAAAAAGCAAAACAATGTTTTGAAAGAATAACCGATCCAGATATTAATAATGAAGAATCATGGTTATCATATTATATGTTGGGTAAGGTGGCCGAAAAAACCAAATGTGATCTATTGATTATTCTACAGTATTATGAATGGGCATACCTAAATCTCTATCTGGATGGTGCTACATATCCGAAAAAGATAAATTATTATTCACCATCATATCTATCGATTGAAGCACTAGAAATTCATTATCGTATCCATTCTTGTATATTAAAATATCTATTGAATAATAGAAAATTTACCGCACGAATGTTACGACAATTAAAATATCATTTAATCAAAGTGAATAAATCACCATTTGTACTTAGAAAAATTTTTAGTTCATCATCGGCAGCGAAAAAACAACAAACATCGAATGGTTCGAAAAATTCACAAACAAATTCAAATGATTCTCGGCCAACAACAATGATGATCAGAGAAGATGAACGACAGATTATGCCCATTTTAACTGATATAATTGGTATGGTTGCTGAACGTAAAGTAAAATTCGATGCTAATCATTATCGAAATGAATTGATTAAAATGTGCTTACAAGGAATTAAAAAATGTTTGGCACGTTATAATGCTCATTATAAATCATACTATCGATTAGCATATTATTATTATTCAATGCGAGATTATTATACAGCCAAATCGATAATGTTTGGTGGGTCGGAAAACAAATCGAATAATTTATTACGATTCGAAATCGATCCAGATAAACCGAATTCAAATCCAGGCTATATAAATGGATTGTTTATTGATCATAAATCGGCAAATCTTTACAATGGAATCTGGTGTATACCAGTGGATGAAATTGAACGTGCCGGAAATTTTAATGCCCACATGTTCCGTTGTACGAATCTAATGATTGATATTTGTACGAAAACTGAAGATTATAATCAATTAAGTAAAATTGCCATTGGTTTGTATAAGAAACCGGATCCGGATAAGAAATATGTTAATCATAATGAACGATTATTATTATCACGAAAAGCATTCGATAATTGTTTCGCTATATTGGAACAGAAAATTATTGATGCTCATAATGCTTGTTTACCGGTTAACATTGGGACTATTATTGTAGAGATACGTCGAATTGCTCAATCAATGGAAAAATTCAATACATTTCCCAATGAAACACAACAAAAATGTCAACAAATTGGTCAATATTTAGAAAACTCAACAACAACAACAACTCAGCAACAACAACAACAACAATAACAAAAATGATTATCAATCAATCAATAATCAGATTGATTTAAATTTTTCATTTTATTTATTTTTTCTTATTCATTTGTATTAATTAAAAGAAAAATTTAATAGATTTAACCAATAAAATTGATTACAACCAAATGTAAAATGATATGGGCGAAAATAAAATCAGCAAATGCACGTTCATCTTTAATGTTGAAAAAATCCATTTTATTCTGATCATTCACTTGTATACGAAGACAAACGCCCAAAATGAAACTGGCAACGGTCGAAATGAAACCGGCAAGGAATGAATTGAATGGAAATGTACCAACCAATAAACAATAAACAAATTGTATGATACCAGTGAAGAATATGTATGCCAAATAAGCATCGATAGCTTTCAAACGTTTGCTGGTATTTTTATTATATTCTTGAAAGAATTTCTGTACAACTTGAATGAAATTGGCCATTTTTTTTATCGATGACTATTTTCAAACAATAATCTAGAATTTGATTTGATTTAAAAAAAGCAATTTGACAGCTGTGAATACAGAATTCTTCGATCACATACACACACACACACACGCGTTTGTTTAGTTTCAATTTAGATCATGATCAATTAGAGTTATACGTGTATTTTCAATGGTACGTCTTATAAGTACAGTGCCAATTGAATATCATAAAGAAAAATTAAATGGATTGTGTGTTTCGAAGTAGAAACTAAAACGAGCGCCAGTATTGATTGATTAATTGTCAAATTTTTCATTGATTTTTAAATTTCTTTGACCTTTGTGGATCATCTGGATTTTTCATTCCTTTTTCATCCATTTTATTTTACGTTTAAATGTAATTTTTGAAATCATTGCTTAGCTTAATGCTTAGCTTAGCATTTGGCAACATTTCGTTCATGCGTTAAAATCACTGTCAATCCATACAAACTTGTCGCATTCATTGTTGACTGAAATAATCCAGCTGTTAGGTCGATTCCGTTTTGTACATATCACTTAGTGGGTGTATAATTTACATTCAGTTTGATTCATATTGAATGATGCATTGGTCGGCCGTTTTGTTTATTGCGGTTTTCATCGCAACTGTTCATGGAACACCACCAAATTTACATACTCGAACTCATCAAGTACATGAACATAATCAGGAAAGAATCAACGATGCCTTTGAATCACATCTTCAACATTCATCGATGAATGATGTTGATGATCATGAACTTGATCATGAAGCCATATTAGGTAGCCGCCAAAAAGCACAAGAATTTGATAATCTATCCGCAGATGAATCAAAACGTCGTCTAAGAAAGTTGGTCGAAACTGGTATCGATGCCAATCGTGATGGATTTGTTGATCATGATGAACTACAAGCTTGGGTATTGAAATCTTTCAAAAATTTAGCCATGGAAGAAGGTGAAGAACGATTGGATGAAGAAGATATGAATGGTGATAAATTCGTTACTTGGGATGAACATTTAAAAGGAGCATTCGATTTTGATGATGATCTCAAGGTTAGTTTATTGAAAGTTGAGCCATTTTTTTAATTTGTTTCATATGATTTCATTACACCATTAGATCAGTGATGCTGTCGAAAATGAATTGCTTGAAGAAGATAAAGTCTTGTGGAAAGCTGCTGATGTCAATAATGATAATCGTTTGGATGCCAAAGAATTTGCTGCCTTCAATAATCCTGAAGAATTTGAACATATGTTCGAAACATTAGTTGGACAAATGTTTGAACGTCGTGATCATAACAAAGATGGTTTTATTGATTTCAAAGAATTTATCAGTGATGAGAATCGAAACATTCCCGATTCTAAATCCGAACATTATATATCGGAAAAGGATAAATTTGAAAATGAATACGATCAGAATCATGATGGTCGATTAGATTTTAATGAATGTATTAATTGGATCATACCGAACAATACGTAAGTTTCGAAATTGAAATTTATAAACATGGAAAATGATCTATTAAATTTTTTTTTTATCTATCCTCATCGTTAGTGAAATTGCATTGAACGAATCTTTACATCTTATTTCAATGGCCGATACAAATCATGACAATAAATTATCTATCGATGAAATTGTCGATAATCATGATGTATTTGTCGGTAGTGAAGCTACCGATTTTGGACAACAATTACATACACATGTTAATGATGAATTATGAAAAAAAACAAGATTTTCATTCTTGTTTTTTTCCTGAATTGAGTGAATAATTTTTTTTTCTTCATAAATTTTCTTAATTTACATATAAAACTATTCATTATATCAAATGAAATGATTATAATTATTGAAATTTGTTGGTTTTTATTTTGACTGAAAGAATTAGTTCAATTGAAAGAAAGAAAAAACATAATAAATTGTTATATGGATATAGAATGATTGATAGAAAAAAATGACAATCAAAAAAAAAAAATAAACAGTGGTTGATTTGATCACATACGATGTTCGGAAATAACGCCATTAATAATCATCGAATCAATAAGTTCCTTGTGAATGGAAAATATTTTATCAATATGTTTTTCATTTGTTTTGATTGATAGAATTTTCGAGTCCAAACTCGGGTTCGATACACATGGCGATATGGTGACTTCGATCGAACTTCGATCATAGTTCAGACTTGAAATACATTTTACCAACATTGTTGTATCAGAAACAAAAACCTGAAAATTTAATTCATATTCAAAACGAGTTGTGATCAACCAACGAGCCTGTATGACTGAAAGAATATCCGCACCAGTGATGATGACATTTTCGAATGGATAATGTTGACAATCATGATAACGAATCAATTTGATTTTAGTACCGGTTTCGTTTTCAATCGATTCCAAATAGCTAGCGTTGATCACATTTGCATCACGACGTGTAATCGGCACTTGTAATGTGCTCATAAAATTTGGCAATACTCGGCCTAATTGATAGAATTCCAATTGCATCTGAAAATTGATCATTGTTTGTATGAGTCGAACGAAAAATTTTCGAAATGTTAAAAAATTGAACAACAATGTGTTCGGCCTATCTGGACGATACGATATATAGACATCCCATTTTTCATATTCTTTTTGCAATGACGGAAAACGTTCTTTCATATATTCAGCACAGGATATTTCATCGTAAAAATAGAATTCAAATTGCAATGCAAATGTTGAATGCAGAAAGAATGATTTACACATTTTGGCCACATTTTCCGATTTACCAATGATCGATACCTTATTGTTAGTGGCTGAAAAATCAACATTACATTGGCTTTCTGATAATGAGCATTTCAATAGGAAAAAATTATGTACGCCAAAAAATACACGATCATCGAATGACATATCGATATACAATGTACACATTTGATTCATAAATGAATCATCCATCACCAAATTTGATGATGATGGATGATTGATAGGCATCAATGATTGATTCTGACCCGAATCATTTATCGACAATCGATTCGATATGGTCATTTGCGATAATAATGGTGATTGTGTTGATTCGTGCCATGATTTACGTCTTTCAACACCAACAGCCGAATCCACCGAATCGGTTGATGATACTTCGAAAAATTGATTTGAAGCTAAAGAATTTGGAAAAAAATCATTTATTAATTGAAAAATAAAGAAAATTTATCAAACCACCTACCACTACTACTTGTATCGATGGAAGTATTATTCCAAAGATTAAAAGTCATTTGTTCAAGATTAGTTTTATCAACTTGTTTGAAATCGTTTAGAATTTTATTCTTCATTATTATGATTGAAAAAAAATGATTAAGAAATGAAATTATCAAATATCACAATGGTATATTTATCAAAAGAAAAAATTAAACATTAAACAAATTGTAAGAAAATAATAACTTTTTAACAAAAAAAAAAAAAAAAAAAAAAAATTTCTTTTTGGTTTTTTACAGATCACACAGACACAAAAACCAAAAATGTGACGACAGAAATTGTGGTTTTTATTTGGCACTGATGATGATTTTGATGATTAATGACTGAGGTGTGTGTAATGAAAAAAAACTTGATCTTGATAAAAAAAAGGGGGGAGAAGTGTGAGAAAATTTTTTTTTTCACTAATCGATGATGAAAATCGACTAATCATCATCGATTGCATCCGATATTTTGTTGGCGAAGAATGAACAATAGTTGAACGGGAAAAAAAATTGGAATGGATGCGCACGTTCGATTTCGAATCATCATCATCAAAATTATTTATTTTCATTATTGATAACGTTCGAATGATGGCGGTAAAAAATTGTACCGGTGGCGTGTGTGTGATTGGTCAATTTGGAATCGATTCGATTTTAGGTTGACGGTATGATGCTCGCACCAATAAAAAAAAAATTATCGAGGAAAATGCTTGTGTGTTGTGTGTGTGTGACAGCCTGCCTCAATGTAGATTCATTGATAATGAATAATTTTCTTTTCAATTCATAATTTTTGAACATTAACATTCAACCACTTGATGATCAGTTGTTATTTTAATCTTTTTTCGTTGAATTCTGATCCGATGAATAAGTTTCAAATAATTCCATTGTTCGTTTTGATAGATTAAATATTTGTCCATATAAAGTTAATCTTGGAGCAATTTTTTTACGAAAATGCTCTTTCATACTTTGCCATGTTCTGTTACAGACATTGGCTTCTTCCATGTCTACCCATAATGATCGACCTTTAGTTTCTTTATAGCGACCTGTATGAATAATATAATTCAAAATTTCATGATCTTCATGGCTTGAATAGCCTTTTATTGTATTAGGATATAGTATATTCATAATCCATCGAATATCAGAGCGTTCTTCATGTTCGTTTTCATTTTCTAAATTATCACTTAAATCGGTATCGCTCTCATCTTCTATATTGTTCAATTTAATTTTATTTTGTCGTTTTTGATTTTGGCTTAATTCTCTGCCATCAGAATCATTACCAATATTCATTTGTTGTTGTTTCCATTTATTCATTGATCGTAAATTTTTACTAGTCGTAGGTTGTTGCTCAGAGAGTTTTATTCGTTTATTTGGCTGACATTCTTCTACATCGCTGATGGTTGATAAACTATCGTTGCTAGAATCCAAAATAATGTCTTTTTCCATTTCACCAGTCTGTTTATCTTGATTTTGATCTATTGTTTTATTAATGTTTAAATCATTCGTGTTTGGTTCGTTCAATTCATTATCATAATTATGATCATTATTTGTTTCAACGTTTTGCATGTTTGGATCTTCACATCGTTCAGCCGAAACAATGTCTTGCAATAGATTTTCGTCACGATCATCATCCAAAGCAACTTGACAGTCGTTTTGTTCATTCAATGAATTATGATTTTCAGATTCTGATAAATGATCATTATGATTGTCTGTTGCCGTTCGATTCAATGTAGATGATGATTGGTGATTATTTGAAATCGATGATTCCAATAGATCCTCGATTGAAGAATGATTATTCTTTGTCATTAAACGTTCCATAATTGACTGAAGATTTTGGACATAATCTTTACCCAATTTATATTTTTCATCTATTATTGAATAAAAAAAAATCTTTATTCATTTAACGAAAAAAAAAGAATTCACTTACAGTTTGGATGTATTTTAATAAAGAATCTTCGCATTAATGTATTCCATGAAAATTCTCCCCGTATACTAAAACCATTATAGGAGAATTTTGAATTCAAATTATCCAGGATATTATCCCAGAAATTTCGGCACAATAAATTGTTCTCAAGATCTTTATCGAACACCAATTTACGAAGTAATTTTCTATCAAAATCATCAGAATTCAAATCAATTTGTAGATGTTTACGAATAAATTCGTTAGAAATTAAACGGCAAAAATCTTCACCATATAATTCAATAAGTTCTTTTTCATCTGCAGTCATTTTTTTTTATCGGATTTAGTGATGAATACGAACCGGAAAAAAAATCAATTATCACATTAAAATAGAATAATCTTATTAATAATGACAAAATTGTAAATTTTCTCTTTCTTAGATCGTAACAAAATATTAGGCGCTAAAAAAATTATTATATAGCAGAAAACGTTGAAAACAGAAATAGAATGAAAAAAAATTACTCGCTGCTAACGGCAAAGGGAAAGTAAAGAGAGAGAGAAAAAAATATCACATGAATCTATGCTACTATCATCACAAAATGAAATGAAACAAAACGTTCGAAACGATTGATGCATTTATTTATTTGAATTTTTAATTTTTTTTGACAATTGATGTATAAAAAATAATATTGTTCACATCTTTAGACGATAATCCGAAAAGTAAGTCGATCTTTGGTACGATTATTTTACGAAAATGTTCTTTCATACTTTGCCATGTTCGTTTACAAATATTAGCATTATCCATGTCTATCCATAATGATCGACCTTTGATTTCATTATATCCACCTGTTTGAATAATGTAATTTAAAATTTCCTGATCTTCATGGCTAGCATTATCCTCTTTTTATATTTGAATAAAGCTTTTGCATTATAAGTCGTTTATTGCTGGAAAGTTTGTCATCATTTTCATTTTGAGCGATAATTCCGAATCATCATTTTATATCCGTATCGTTTTCATCTTCAGTTACCATTGTTAATTTCGATTGGATTTATCACGACAATTTGTTGCTGTGTTGAATTTCGATTAAACACTTTGCCAACAGAATCATTATTTACAAATTGCAAATTTTCAATAGATCGATATTGTTGTTCATTGAGATTTATATGTTTATTTGATTGAATTTCATTCTTGTTGCAAATGGATGCTATAATATCGTCCATAACGTTCAACAAAACATCATCAACATTTTTTGTTATTTCAACATATTTGATCTATTCATTGTTATCGATTAAAAATTACGAACAAAGCAAAGCATAAAAAAAATAGGCGATTCTTATAACACACCAATAATCACGATAAACGTTCATTTATTTAAAATCAATTTATTCATATAGTACGTTTCAATGAGCAAGACAAATGCCACGCTGCTGCTGCTGTTGTTGCTGTTGTTGCAACTCAGTTAATTTTTGTTTTCAATCCAGAAAATTTCATTTAATTTGATTCTTTTTCCTTTTTTTTCAAACGATATAATTTCAATTGAAAAAAAACAAGCAAAATGCCTTCCGTCGATCAATCATGGGCCATTCAGATGGACGAAGATGAAGATCTTGATGAACGTCATGTTGAATTTGATGGCGATACAAAAATCGTCACTGAAATCCGTCATCAAGATGGCAAAAGAATTCAGGTGAAACAATATTTTCGTACCGAAAAACGTCGTGTATCAATAAATGTTGGTAAACGTAAAACATGGCATAAATTTGGTTTATCTGCTAATGATACACCTGGACCAAATCCTAAAACGACATTTATTTCGGAAGAAATTCAAATGGAATTCCTGACCAATAAAGAAGATGAGAATGCCGAAAAGGATCTATTGCAAAATCTTGGAAAAGGTCTTGGCAATCAAAACATTACATGTCGTTATTGTGGTCATAATCATTGGACCATTAAATGTCCATTCGCATTTCAAATGTCTGCACTCAACAAACTCACCGATAACAATGAACAGGCAAAGGTATTTTCTTAATAATTCATTCATCGATTTAAATTTCTAAAACTTTTTGTTTTTTTTTGTAATCATCACTAGGCTGATGATCGAACACGAGCCCGACCAGGTATGTCATTGCTTCGTGATGGTAAACGTTTGGATATGGGCTCTCGAGGTAAAGATGAAGCGAATACGATTCGAATCACAAATCTACCAGAAGAAACACAGGATAGCGATATTCGAGATCTATTCAAAGATTTTGGCCGTCTTACACGAATATTTTTGGCCAAAGATAAAGCTACCGGTAATTCGAAAGGTTTTGCATTCGTCAGTTTTGATACACGTGAAAATGCTGCTCGTGCCATCAAAACTGTTAATGGTCATGGCTATAATAATCTTATTCTAAGTGTTGAATGGGCTAAACCAAATTATTGAAAATCATTCATTAAATCATCAATTAATTAATATATGATTTTAATAGATCATTCATTTGCTTTATATGAATTTTCAAATATTGAATAATTTTAAAAATTAAATAGCAAAACAACAAACTGTGTGGTGATTAAATTTTGAAACCAAGTTTTCGTAAACATTCCTTGTGTGCTTCAATATATTCGGTACAATTAGCCTCTCCATTTTCGATGATACTGTATGGAATTATTATTATTATTATTCATTTTAAAAATGATAAAAAATGCGTTTGAATCATCAAAATTAAAAACTTACCACTCATCACGCTTTTTACGTGTTTCTGGACAAGCACAACAAGGTTTCAATGGTTTTGTTTGTTCACCATTTTCTTTTGATTCTCCATCACAAGGCATTTTTGTTGTTGTATTTAACGGTTTTTTTTTCTTGTATCAAAAATGCTTCGAGGTCAATGTGAAAAACGAGATTACTGATGCAAGATTTTTACCGTCGTTGAATTGGACACTATTTCGACAACACTATATTTTTTGTATGTTATAACATGGATTTATATATTGTGATTTAAAAGTCAAGTGCAGTGTGTTTCGATTCGAATTATTTGGGGACAATAATAAATTCTAATTAAATTCAAATTCAAAATGAACCAACATAGGTTTCTACGACGGACGGCTCCATTGTTTTTTACAAATATTCGGCTAGCAAGTCAAGCTTTGGCTTATGATAATTTTGGTGATCCAGTAGCTGTGTTGAAAAAAGTATCCATTCAAAATGAACGAGTTATCAAGAATGGTCATATTATGGTTAAATATTTAGCCTCACCAATTAATCCTGCCGATATCAATTCAATACAGGGTGTATATCCAGTAAAACCTTCAAGTTTTCCTGCTATCGCCGGTAATGAAGGTGTAGCCGAAGTTGTTCGTATCGGTTCCAATGTTAAACATGTACAGATTGGTGATAAAATCATTCCTGCTGTAAAGGCAAGCGGTACATGGACCACAAATGCCATTTTATCGGAAAAAGATGTTACCGTCATCGATAAGAATGTGGACGATTTATTTGCTGCACAATTATCAGTAAATCCATCTACCGCTTATCGAATGTTAAAAGATTTCCATAAATTCGAATCAGGTAACTTTATTATTCGTTAGAATGAATTGTTGTCGAATGATTTGTTATTTATTTTAGGTGAATCGTTGATTCAGAATGGAGGTAACAGTGCTGTCGGTTTATTCGTCATTCAGTTAGCCCGATTATGGGGTATCAAAACAATCAATGTCGTACGAGAACGACCCAATCTTGATGAACTACGTGATCATTTAAAATCGTTAGGTGCCGATTATGTTGTGACCGAAGAAGAGTTACGAAAAAGAGAAATAATGGAACAAATATTGGCTGAAATACCGAAACCAAAATTGGCATTGAATTGTGTGGGTGGTCAAAATGCTACCGATTGTATGCGATATCTAGCTGACAATGGTACAATGGTCACCTATGGTGGAATGTCAAGAAAACCTGTGGTCATACCAACCGGTTTGCTCATATTCAAAGATCAAAAATACGTTGGCTATTGGATGACTAGATGGAGTCAGCAGAATTTTAATTCCACACAACGAATGAAAATGATTGAAGAATTATGTCAATTACGAATTGAGAATAAACTACAGCTACCCAAAATGGAAATAATCAAACTGGATGATTGGAAAGATGCAATGGAGAACATGTCCAAGGGTTTCACCAATGCCAAATATGTCTTTAAATTTGATTAAATAAACCTGTTAGCAATGAATGATAAATTTATTTTATTTTAAACAATCAAATACCGAAAAATAAATTTTTAAAATGTTTGTTTTGCATTGCATCAATCATTTCACTTGCTTCGATAACGTTCGCGTTTTTATAGTTGAGCATAGCGAACAGGGCTCTACTATCAGAATTACGTGCCACTAACCATGCATCATTCATATTTTTACCAATCAATTCGAATACTTGTTCCTCAGTGAATCGTTGTTGTAGATCAGATTCAACATCGATAATCAATCGTGTAAAATCTGAATCAATCAATTTACGGCAATTTGAATTGCCACGTTGAGCACAATTACTGTAATTGAAATAGATAAATTTAATATCTTTGGCTGAGCTATCATTAGTTAATTTTGAATCTGGTTGTTTAGCTATTTGGGTTACTGTTTCATGTAGTTTGTTCGTTAATGACACCAGTCGGCTAGAAAGTAGTGTTCCACATTCTTTCAGAATATTTTCATCAAATTCGGTCAATATCAATCCGATGGTCGAACCATTAATCGATCGGAATAGACAAAGATTACGGAATGCTGATCCATGACCAGGATGGCCCATTAGATAGATGCGAAAATCTACTTGAAGCCATCGTGTTTTATTCGATATACCACTTATCTCTTCTTTCACAGCATCTGGTATGACAATGTTGGTCAGGTAATTGTATAGAATTTGCGTATCGAACAAGGACAATGAACTGGATACTAATTGATCATTGTAGATGAAAATATAGGAATCGATTCTCCAATCATTGGCCTGTACACAATTCAATAAACTTTGAACAGCCATGAATGTTGTGTTACTAAGGGGAAGATATTGTATCGACGAATATAGCTCGATCAAATTGAACGGTAATATTTCGATATGTGGAACGTAATTGTCGAAAAAATCATGACATTTATCCAGGAATTCTTGACGAGATAGTTTGTCACACAATTCTTCAATCGGTCCATTCAAAAGCCTGAAATAATTGTAGATATTTTCTAATTTAAGTTTAAAAAATTATCACAGATTTCATTCTCATGATATTCTGCTATCTGCGTAGAATCTTCGCCAGATTTATGTACAGAATACGATTCAGATATGAACATTGATGACCAAAAATTTGGAGCCAATTCATGGAATATGAAACGTAAACGATCACCTTGTAATGATTTGGTTACTTGACCGAATTGTCGCCCGAAATTGATGACTGCTTCGGCTAGGCCAACATCGGATATTTTCTGATCAATACCGACGACCAACGTTGGTTTGACATAATAATAGATTAGCTTTTCATGTTCACTACCTTCTTTTGTTCCCCAGGTCGTATTGAATACCAAATATTTAATTAATTGAATTGGATGACGAATTTTCACCTGTGACATTTTTCATTAAAATATGAGCCACATATGTTTATCAAACGCTATGTATACATCAATGGGTCAGTGAACGAGTGTGCAAACAGATACCAAACACAAATTGAAAACAATTTGTTGCCATATATAATTTGGGATAACGGGCTATATCAATTTCATCTTTGTTGTGTTCCTAGTCAACAATTACCCGTTTTTTCTCATCCAATGATGGCCCTGTGATTTTGATTATTATTATTATTTTTTATTGTTGTTGTAAATTTTTCTTTTTATAGTTTTATTATTGTCTCATGGTCTGTTTTGGTAATGAAGCCAAACTTGTCATTCACCATCATAACAGCTGTCGTCTTGTTTACGTTGATTTTTTCATTCCATTTGATTCTTTTCTTGTCAACGGTTATTGTTGCCGCATTATTCGGGTAAATTCTTTATTCTTTATGGTTGAATAATAAATTTTTAATATTTTTCAAATTAGTGTATTGTTCTTTTTCGAATTGAACACTTCGAATGTCGAACGTGATTTTGAGATATTCAATCGTACAGAACCGATCCGTTTCGTTAGCTGTGATCATCATGCCAGACATCACCTGACCACAATGATTAATAAACACATTCATTTGTTATCAAAATTAGAGCTGAACCGTAAATTTGTAAATAAATTTGAAATTGACAATCAGCTGAATTCATTGCTCGAAGTAATCATCAAGAATCATATCCATCCATGGTCTAGGACAATATCACCTATAAATGAGGAATTGTCCACCAAACTTTACATACTTTTTCATCAGATATTAACCGCTTTAATTGGCCGATTACGACGAGTGAATGTAGCCGATATGATTATCAACAAATTGGTGGACGAAGTGACCAAACATAAACGATTATATCGAATGACCAAAAATCAATTAGAATATAAAATCCATACCGAACAGGAGTTTGTACAAATGTTTTTCAATATCGAACGAAAATCCGAAAAAAATTCTTATTCACATGAAAAAGTTTGCCAACAATGGCTACAAAGTTTTCAATTTCTATCACGAATCTGTGATATTCTTCAATATGCTCTTTACCCACGTGAATCATTTGCCAATCAAACATTTCGTATGTTGACCAAACAAATTTTATTGAAATTGTTGCTCTTACCATTGATCGAATCATTCTCTGAACCGGATTTCATCAACAGTATTATAATATCATTTTTAAAATCAAATTGTCCAACAACTGAAACATTTATACTTGTCTTACAATCGACCGATGATGTTGATGAGCTTTATTCTGTTTTACAAAGTGTAGATGAAGAAATCATGTTGATGCGTTCAAAAGATCAGGATGATGATGAATGGAAAATGAAACAACAATTAAGCAGTTTGCTTTATTTGAAAAAGATTATATTGTCTCATTTGAAAAAATTTGATGACAATACATCGGCATCACCGTCCAATAGTGACAATAGTGGTTGTTCAAATGGAGAGCGAAGAAAATGTTCATCAAATGAATCGTCACGAATACCGATATCGTTCGATACAGTTCTACGACATAATGTAGCACTTGAATATTTCATTGACTACATGACATCAATCAATTCGGAAGCCTATATTAATTTCTATATTAATGTTCAGACATTCAAGATTAGCATCGAACAAGGATTATTCGAAATATATCTAACATCAGTCAATGATTCGGTTACGAATGAACAATATCAACAACTACAGAATGATGTTCGTGATACGGCGTTGAACATTTATGAAACATATCTTTTACAATCGGAAAATTCTCCACAATCCAATGGTTCATCCAGTCAGCTTAGTTTGGTCGATCGAAACCTTTGTGAACAATTATATCAGACATTAATGTCTGGCGATTCGTCACAATGGATGAACGATGCTCTCTTTGATGATATTTTCTTTCAAGTTCGTGATTTACTACTTCATCATTCGGATTTTTTCCCAGCATTTTGCCAGAGTAAATATTACCGCAAGTTATTAGGTGAACCAGACCTATTACGTGATAGTTTGGATGATGAATCAAATAGTGAACATAATAAACAACGGAATAATATTTCCACAACGAGTGAAAATGGCCAAACGAATGGATTCGATATTGATATAATCGATACTGGTATATTAAATCTTCAGGGTAAATCATTTATTGGTTATCTAATCAATGTGGAACGAAAGAATGGTGAATCATGGACAATATTGCGTCGATATTCAGAATTTTTTAGTTTTCATCAAACAATGGTCGATAAATGTGACCGTTATCATATGAATTTACGAAGCATACTATTTCTTCCTCCCAAAACGGTGCTCAGTAATCGAATGAATGAGAATTTTATACAATATCGTCGATATATGTTGAACGTTTATCTGAAAAAATTGAATTATATCCATGGCAAATTTCAATTTCTTCGTGATGATATTGAACGTTTCATACAGCCTGGTAATTATTATTCGAATATTTCTTCATCATCAGCATCATCATCGACAGCAAAAAATCTACTCAATCCAATCAAAACGATTGGTAATGTTTTCCGTAATCAATCGGAAAATCTTTTGGATGGTTTTCAAAGACTTAGCCGAACACTTTCATTACAGACTGATCTGAATCGAACCACACAACATCAGCAACAACAACAACAACAACAACAACCGGAAAATAAACGAGTCTTTCAAACAAATTCACTTGGTTCGAAAAGTTCTGGTCAGAATATGCTCAAACATAATAGCGATAGTTCCGGTGATTTAAGTTCAATATTAGATCTGTTCAATGATGATGTTGATAGCAGCCAAGCTGTGGATAGTGAAGAGAACATACCATTATTGTTGTTATTGGATGAAGTGTTTGATCTGAAAAGTCAACATTTCTGGCTTCGTAGAAGAATAATCGAATTATTCAAACAGATTGTTGAGGTAGCATTTTCCGATACTATCAACAAGAAAATGATCGATCATATCAACGAATCAACTTCTACGGCCAATCTATGCGTTTACATTGATTCATTCAAGTTAGTTTATATCACATATCGGCTTGTGGCATTTGTTTTGAATTTTTACATTTTTTTTACAGAAATCTTTTCTGGCCTGACGGAACTTTAGCTCGATCATCGACGAGAAAAAAAGAAAATTGTCTACGACGTAAAGTTGCTGCCAAAGCATTGATCATGACATCCTTGTCGGGTAAGTATCACATCAAATGCTGATAATGATTTTGATAACAGTTTTCTTGATTCAATTAGATCTTCGACGAGTAGTCGGTGCCGATACATTGCAGTCGGGTTTGATTTCATTTTTTGAATTATTCCAAAACAAAACACTTAATCTACGATTGGTTTTTGTTCTTATTGAATTGATACTCAAAGAATTATTACCTGATGGCAATTGGGATCCAATATTCATACGTTTATATAGCTCATTCGATGATGATCACCATTCTACAACTGATAGTATTGATTATAAATGGCCACCATATTTACAGGAAATGTCACTGTAATATATTCAAAAAATAAAAATAATATAAAAGGCACCCTTTTCTATTATCATGTTATTTTGTAGAATTTCAAATATTTATTTATTTGTAATAATTAATTTATGAATTAAAATTGAATATATTCACTGCATTCATTCAAAATGATTGGATTATAATTAATTAATTTCAATGATGATGTGATTGATACATGTTAAATGATGATAATGATATTGATTAGATAGATATTGCCTAGTTGCATAGTTGCATAGCTAGAAATATTTATAAGAATCAAGGCATTCTGTGGTGAGCTCCATGTTGTTGGTGGTGGGTGGGTGGGTGTTTGGTTGCTGGCGTCATGTGCAATGTGTATGTAATATAATATTTTCTATGTACAATGTGTATGATGACTATGATTATTCTGATTTATGTGCATCCGTTTCTGGTTGTTGTGCATTCATAGCTGTATATGACGACAATGGTGATGATAATTGTTTTGATTCAATGATAGATGGAGATTTTGATTCCGTTTTGATCGATTGAATTGTATTTGGACTGTGCATTGGAGATGATGATGTCGTATCGAATGTTAACGATTCATGTTGTCCCGTTGTTGTTGATGTTGTTGTCGATTTATCCATCAATAACGAACATGGTGTTTCATAGAGATGGTGATGATTACCGGATGATTGGTTATAGACATTTGTTGGATAATATCCATGGCTACCGTATGGTTGAGGTATGGTAATTGGGCTTTGTATAAACAAACGAACAAATAAATAATAAGGTTACACGAATACAACTTACTTGTTCTGATGATAAAAGGAACCTATCGATGTTGGACTAGTTGTACCATTTATATTGGATAATTGTTGTTGGCCATAATGATCGGGGATGAATGATGTTGTTGTTGGCCAACCGGACCAATGATGATTCGATGACACGTTATCATTGATCGTAGTAAACATTGGATTCGACGATGAAGATGTCATTATGCTCGTTGTCGCTGCTGCTGTTGCCGCTTGTTGCGGAGAGGAACTTGATCCAACAATTGGGACCAGTGTCGATCCGATTACATTCGTTGGTGATACATAAGCACCACTTGGATAATGATGTGGACTAGTTGTTGATGATGAATTCGACATGATTGCTGCTGCTGTACCATTGACATTCGAACCAAACTAATAATCATTATCAATCAGACATTATTCATTATTATTAGCAGACAGTCAGACAGTCTAAATTGAATTACCATCAAACTAGATGAATGACCTGATGATGGCGATGGCGATGATGATGTAATGTTTGTTGTAGCCATTGCAACCAAGCCTGATGTATTGAGCGGATGATGGGGATGCTGGTTATGGCGGTGAGGATGTGAATGATGACTAATGGCCATCAGAGGATGATTTTTGGCAAAAAAATTCGAATTTAGAAATGATTTTCTTGGTGGTTCACGTTTCCGCCATTTTGCTCTACGATTCTGTAGAAATTCCACCAATTATTTTATCGATCAAAAATTCTTAATCATAAAAAAATCTGGTCAATGAAATACTAACCTGAAACCAAACTTGAACACGTGATTCACTTAGCTTTAAACGATTGGCCAATTCTTCACGAGCAAATACATCTGGATATGGTGCACATTGAAATGCACGTTCCAATTCATCAAGTTGATATGATGTGAATGTCGTTCTGCGTGTAGAATAGGAAAAAGCAATCCTAAGTGACCCGAGGTCGTAATGATAAACACACAGAGGACAAATACAGTCCTTATGAGTTTATGATTACGATAGGCCTTGTTTTGTCATATACATCGCCCCTATGGCGAATGAACAAGGGTCACTTAGGATTGACTATAAACCAAAGAAATATAATATAAAACAAGAGAAAAACGGACATGCAAACCAAGCCGAAAAACAAATGATAAACAAAAAAACGGACTGTACCTGGTCTTTTTCTTTTTATTTCCGACATTGTTGTTATTGTTATTATTTGTAGTGATCGTCGTTGTCGTAGCGATTGTCGATGTTGTCGATGTTGTTGGAATCAGTGGAGATGTGATTGAATGGTTTATTCGTGAATGATTAGATGGTGGTGATTTATCACTACTCGTTCCATTCGATGTAGTTACCATTTGATATGGTGATCGACGATTGTGTCCTTTTGTTGGATGCTGTGAATAATGAATATCCTGCCATTGTTGTTGTTGCTGTTGCTGTTGCTGCTGCTGCTGTTGCTGTGAATTCATTTCATTCATGGTTGGACTTTCGTTTGTTGTTGTGGTCATTGATGATGTGGATGTTGGTGGTGGTGCGTTCGATTTTGAATGATCCACTAGATTTAGGAATAATGTATCATCGGGTACAGTGATATCGGCTACAAATAATGAAATGAAATAAAAGAAGAATATGAATAAAAAAAAATGAATAAAATTGTCTATTTGAATATTGATGACAATCGAACGAGACAAACATTCGATCGATCGATTAATGACTAAATTGAATATATATCGTATGAATGATTAATTTGTATAGACATATAGTTTGTAATTATTTGCACTAATATTAATGGCTTAATAGACCTAATCATCTAGACACCATATAGACATTGTATTCAACTTACCATAGCTAAATGAATTCTGCTCTTGATGATGATCACTACCGACTACAATTGCTTGGCCACGATACATTTCAGTTGTTGATGTTGTTGTTGTTGTTGTTGTTGTTGGAATGAAATTATTATGAAATGACATTGAACCATTGGATAATGGATCAACATCATCATTATTATCATTATTATGATTATTATAGATGTTATAGATTGCCCGACTATGATTATTCACGGATAGATAGGATCCAGAATGATGATGTTGTTGCGGTGGTTGTTGGCCATCATATGGATGTTGTTGATGCTGATGATGATGGTTATCCAACGAAGCTTGATTCGTATGGACGCCACTATCACTATCATTGGTTGCTACAGTGGCCGTAGTCGTCGACGTTGTTGATTCATATGTCGTTGTTGATGTCACATACGACATGGATTCGGTTACTGCTGTTGTATCTTCAATTGATCGATCGTTTTCATCAGATAAATTTTTCACCACCGGTCTGATCAATCGGATGTCGATCATTAATGATGATGCCGATGATGATGTTGATGATGGTGGCGAGGACGATGATGATGAACACGATGAGGACGACAATGATCCATTTGATGATGAAGAAGATGATACCTGATGATGATTATGGTGCTGGTGGCCATAGTGATCGTTGCCATTACTGTTGTTGTTGTCTGCAGCATTATCAATATTTGTCACATTTTCTTTACCACCATTACCATTATCTTCATATAATATAGTTGTATTGATATCTGTCTGTTGAGTATTGAATGGATCCAATAGATAATTTGTGTTGGTCGTATCGATTATGGCGCCGACCATGTGATTAGATGCAACTTGAGCTGCCGGATTCATCGATGTGGATGATGATGATGATGATGAGGGTAATTGCCACTCATCCATTTGATAACATCGATTCATCAAAGTGCTGCTGGATAAATGTCGTGATTGCCATTCATGCGGAAGCCAAAGTGATGACGATGATGATAAAGTCCTTGTCGTTGTTTGCTCTTGCTCGATATTGATTGACGATTCTGTACATCCGGTTAAAAGGCTAGAATTTTCCTCACGTGAACCACTATTGTTAACCATTGGAGCCAAATCATTAAAATTGCCATATGGATAAAGTGTTAACATCGTCGGACTATGATTATGATGGTGACCGGTGTTGTTTGTCAATATCAATTCTGTATCGTCGACTACATCATGGACATATGATGGTTGAACATCTTCCATACACGAAATAGATAAACTGTTGCCACCACCACTACCACCACTGTCGATTGGTGTTTGTAAATAAATCGAACCTATAATTAAAACAATATATTTGTGGGCCGGAAAAGTACAGCAACAAAGAATATGAATTATATATATCGATTACAATCAAGTGGAATTTGAATTAAATATGATCAAAAATCGATGAACATTGACACTTGTGACATTCACGATAATTTGTGCTATCATCATCATCATCACATAGTAATCATCAAATCGATAAATGTAAAAATAAGTAAGTAATTCGATGTACCTAGTGTTTAGAGATATATTGGATAGATCGATTGGATCGATTGATGGTCGATCGATCTATTTCATTTGTAAATCGGTTTACATGTCTATTATGATGATAATAAATAATCAGCAGCAGCAGCAGCAACAACAACAACAACAGCAGATAAGACAATAGTTTTCTTAACTACTTCTCAAATGAAAATACCCAGACACAAACACATACACACACACACTTCAAAAATAGGTAAGACATCTAGTCATCATTATCATCATCATCATCTTAGCACACATTTACCAAAGAATGTCATTACAAACACACAAAATGTGTTATTTTTTTTTGTTGGAAAAAAGCCGCTTTCATTTTAAAATGAAATGAAATGAAATGATTTATTAACACAACCATACAGGTGTTTCTATATTTTTTTATCATTAGTAATAACACTTTATATGATCATTATTGTTGAATTGAAACATTCAAACGATAAGAAACTAAAAAAAAAGAAAAGAAAAACCGAATACTCACTCATAATTTTGTCGTCGTCATTGAAAATCGGGCGATCCAAGTGATGTTGTTGCTAGTGGTAGATGGATGATTTTTTTTTCTTTATTATTATTTTTTAAATGAATATCAAATTAGATTAGTGCCAATTAACTAATGAACCAAAGAAAAAAAGAGAGAGAGAGAGAGAGAGAGAGAAAGCGAGAAAGAAAAGAAAATGCCATTGATTATTATTATTTTTATTGTTGTGTTTGATAATGATTGAAAAATGATAAATTCAATTCAATGATCATTATTGACTGACTTACTGACTGACCGACTGATCGGCCAATTTATTCACTGGTTTAATGTCGCTTGATTGAACTAAATAATCATTGTGTTTATAAACGATGATGATTATGGTGATGGTGGTGGTGGTGGTCATAAAATGTTTTTTTCTTTTCCAAAAAAAAAAAATCCCGATTATCATTGTCGATGAATCGATCCATATCCATTTTTTGTTTTAGATTTTTCTTCATCCATCCATTCATTCATTCATTCATATCATCCATAGACTAATAGACAGTGAATAGTGTAAATTTGAAATGAATCAATTATTGTGATAGAGGCGTGGCATGATCACTAGCATCATTATAAATACCATATTATGGGGCGTGTAACATTGTCATTTTTATTTGTGTATGTTTGTGTGTATGTGTGTGTGTGTGTTTAACTTACTGAGTTTAAATGGTTGGTTGGTTGGTTAGTTGTTTTTGGTGAAATTGATGAAGAAGAAAAGGAAAAAAAAAACTTTGTGACAATCAACAAAAAGCCCGTCCCATGATAATAATAATAATAATAATTGTAAAGTGATGATTATTTAAAACTTTTTCTAACCTAATCATTATTATTTACCCGAAAAACACAAACACACACACACACACTTATTGGAACATTTAAACACGCCTTAATAAATGTTCCAATGAATGACTGATGATGATGATATACATCATATAATAATCAATAATTGTAATGAATAACATTGTTGTTGTTGTTGTTGTTGTTGCTGTTTTTTCATTATTTCTATATGGTTGATAAGTTTTTTTTTTCTATTTTTCTTAATTATTAATTATGTAAATTCAGTTCCAAGTCCATGTTCCATATGTGGTCTCACTGTGTGTGTGTGTGTGTGTGTGTGTGTGTGTTTATTTGGTTGGCTACTTTTGACTGATTTTGGTTTGAAATGTAGATTTGTTTTTGTTTTTTTTTTTTTGCAAAATAATTTGTTATATATGTGAATCATTCACACGCCTACACACATCCACACACACACACACACACACACTATTAATCTGGAATATCGATCCAATTTTAAAACAATAATTGACAATAACAAAAGATGAAATGATAACATTGATATATCAAGTGTGTGTGTGTGTGTGTGTGTGTGTGTGTCATAAGTCATTCAAATAAAAGTCATTCATTCATTTATATTCAATATAAAGTTGACCGCTATTGAGAATCTGTTGAATAGAAATATAGTAGTTAGCCCACATATATGCAACCAGTAGTAGATCATAGTAGTAGGTATCGGAAAACTGGTACGTATTCCAAATGTGGCCTTTTCTTTTTTTGGTGAATGACTATCGAGTGACACAGTGTTCACGTCAGCCACGTGCCACACGTGTCAAGATCTGTATATTTTGTGTTTGTGTGTGTGTGTGTGTGTGTGTGTGTGTGTGTGATTCAGGCGTGGCATTTATTCATTGAAAAGCTGTTCAATTCATCATTGGTTATATTGTTATTATTATTATTATTATTTTTAATGTTGATAATGATCAAGATTAAATGAGATGAGTTATATAGATCAACAGCAGGAGATAAGAACTTGAAAAACAAAAAAAATTCTGTAGATGGACAAAACATTCAATTGGATCAAGTAAGTAATAGAAAAAAAACAATCAAGTGTCATTATTATCAACTAACATAGTGAATTATAATCGTGGGAAATATTATTTATAATTTTTTTTTACTTCCAGATCTTCTTCAAGATCACACATTGTAACCAAAAAAAAAAAAAAACATTGATGGGAATTTTTGGAATAACAAAAATTCAAGTCCTAAAAACACAGACCATGTCCAGTATTTTGTTTCGTTTTGTTTGGTTTTGTTTTGTTTTTCTGGTCACCAGAAAAAAAATCGCTACATGTGGCCACATCAATACATAACATAAAATAACATGAACATTCTTCATCATTTTAAATCATGAATAATATTCAAGTAATTTTCACACAAAAAAAAACCCAATAACTTGATCGTATAATATGTCCAAGTGTGTGTGTGTGTGTGTGTGAGTATTAAGCTTTAGTGTCGATTCTTGACAGTTCAGTAATGAATTATGATTAGTTTTAATTGGTAACAACCATCAGTCTGTGTGTGTGAGTGCGTCAAAAATAACCGGAAATTTTTAATTGAAATCAATTTAGATCAATTAGATGCCATACCCCTGAAATGATGATACGATGATGATTTCACATGACCACTGATCATCATGATGATGATTCCTTTTCATGTGCTAATATATTGTCTCTTTTCTTTTTTTGTTTGTTTGTTTCAAACATGGTGGTGGATACTTGGCGGGATTTTTCTTGTTTTTTTTATTTGAATTTTTTTTCGAAAAAAAAATATTTAAAATTCTTAACATTTTTCAACAATAGATGGTGGTAAAAATTGGGCGTCATGTTTATCATCATTGACGATAGATAGCACCATTGGATTTGTTTTCGAGTTTTTTTTTACTTGGTATATGTGTGAATGTCTCCTATCGCTGTTGTTTTGATGATCATTGATGATGATGATGATGAGTGTTGTTGGTTTTTATTTGTTATTGCATGCCGTTTCTCTCTCTCTTTCATTCCAATCAAATGTTTGAAGATAACGAATGAAAAAAAAAAATCTTGTTTCGTCTTGTCTGGTGGGATCTTTCATGTTCTCTTCATCGACTGAATCATCATCAAGTTGATCATCAACTTTCGGTGTTTCTGGTGGTCACAACAACAACACAAACACACACACACGTAAACATAATCGACCACAAAAACTACCAAATATGCGTTGGTGGTGATGGTGAGCCTAATATTATTCCAACAAACATATATCGTTTCGATGTTTATTTTGAACATGATCCATAAACTCTATTGATCAAATCATAGTATATGTGTAGTGGTCATGAGTTGATGTCGATCATACCAGGGGACAATTCAATTCATTCATTTTTTGATTTATGAATCCCCAATTGTAATTCCACTTGAAGAATAAAGGTATTTATATGAATTCATCTAAATCCAGAAGCTTAAACAAAACTTGATTTTTTTTTAATTTGTATTAACAGTCCTGATCAATCATGTTCCAAATAAAAATCTTAATAATAATGAAATGATGACCATATACAGACATAATGATGTGTCTATAATCTGGCCGATTAAATATTAGCCGTTACTTCATTTCTCTCTCTCTCTCACACACACGCACAAGATTTGGCGCCCGTGTGCAAATAATTCTCATTTTTGTTTATCTCTCAATTGTTCCAACCATATCCTATTGGCGATGATGATGAAAAGATATCCTTGCTGTAGGATAATACATCGATTATTTAGCCATTTCGATATGTTTGTGTTTGTGATTTATCATCGATGAAATGTTTTTTAAATACAATTCTCAATACACAGAACAAAGATAATAAGACATTCATTTCATGTATGATACTCGTTTATTCTCCAAATCTATATTGCCTTGATCCAATAATCATCGTCTTATGCTTAATCAATCAATCAAATAAGATCTGAAACAACAAAGTCCAACTACATTTATCAACGTATTGTTGATTATTATAATGTATACAGCCAACAAAATCAAATCCAATCCTCCGTTAAATTGATGATTTTCTATAGTTAATCAGTGAATTACGCATTTTTTTTTCGGTGTGACAAAATATCCATTTTTACTTTGCTGAATTTATAATCATCGTGTTATTGGGACAAATCAATTTTTCTCAAAATTCAAATGGTGGCCGTTAATTCGAATGGCTAGCTGGTTGGCTAACCTCAAGTGATTAATTAAACAACTTTGGATTGAGGTGAGTGTTTTTTTTTTGCTATTTTTTTTTTTTTTTTTTTTTTGACCACAATCAAAGTTTGTCCAGTTTTTTCCCTTGTCATTGAATTACTGGCCTCTTTTTGCCGTTATTTTTTTGGTGTTGTCACTGTGTGTTTGTGACCACAACCATTTCTATACACCAACCACTAGAGCCAGATTTTTTTTCCCTCTTTACATTGCCGCCGTGTTTGTTAAATGTATTTGCTTTGATTGGAAAAAAAACTCGATTGGCAAATGAAAAATATTAGGATGATGATGATGATGATGATTGCCAAACAGTCAAAAAAAAACACTATGGATGTTTGAGCCACTAACGACACTCTTTTTTTTTTTATTTTCACCATTCATTCATCCAGTAGTTCAACGTCACACACACATACACGCAACAAGTTCGGCTATTTAGTTATTACTGATGATGATGACATTAACAACAAAAACGGATGGTTTATTGGCCATAGAATACACATATAGATGCATATCAATTGTTGTTGTTGTTGTTGTTTTTTATTGTCAAATCCGGTCTTTCTCTGACCAAAGTTATAGTAAGTAGCCTTATGGTTTGGATTTTATTTGTCTTCCCCTTTGTCAGAATGTTGATTTATTTATTTGGAATTTTTTTATTTTTATGTTTTCCATCATGATTGGTGGGTGATGATGATGATGGTGGTCATTATTCAATTTGATGAGTAGATGTGTGTGTGTGTGTGTGTGTCTGTCTATTTCCTGTATGGTGACAACAATTTCAATTGATATATGATTTGTGTTTGTGAATGAATATGATTCATTTGAAAAAAAAATCAAACCATATAGAAAGAATATTGATATATCTATTTAATCATGAAATTTATTATTTAGAGATTGTTTAAATTTTCATTATGATTGCTTTTACCGATAATAAAACACCAAAAAGAGACTTGTTTTCAATTTGGTGATGGAAACATGGATAGTTTCCTATGAGTTGTGTTAATCAAATATAAAAGCAGAGAAACTAAAAAAAAAAAAAAAATTATTTGGATGCCATATCATCATCATCATCATCACCATCATCACAGATCACCAAGACAATCGATAAGAGTGAATCGAGTGAGTACTCATTGTAACCAAAAAAAAAATGATCATGACTTCCATCAAAAAAGGAAAAAAACTATTTTTTCATTTTGTCAATCGATAATCGTTGACTAAAACTTAGTGTTGTTTTGAGTTAATGAATGAATGAATTGTCCTGTGTGTGTGTGTGTGACCTAGTGATCATCATCATCATCACTATTTATTCATTATCACTACCATCATTTTGTTTGCATATCCAATGTAGTTTTTTTTTAAAAAAAAAAGATAATTTACAACTTTATAATTCTAGACTAGATCGATCAATTTTTTTAAATTAAAATTCAATAAAAACGGAATAGGTTTGTGTGTTTGTCCATTTATTTTGATTGAATTTAGGTATCATCACATTCTATGTATTGTACCTGATTGCTTGACATATAAATTATTTTATAGAATGATGTGATTATTATAATGAATAATCAAATTTGTTATATGCTCTATGATAACAATAGTAGCAGATAAATTATATTATGTGATAGTGTTATAGTAGTGATGAGAGAATCTTGGTCATTTGCCTGGTTATTTTTTTTTTCTTTATCATTAACGGTGTCTACAATCATCAATGTGTGACCAGCGCCCAACAACAACAACAACAACAGCAGTAAGCCTGTTCATGTTATGTGTTCATTATTCATAAGGTGAAATGTTGAATTTCATTTCATATTTTATAGTGATGATGACTGATCATACAGAAACAGAGATTCCCATGATGATAGTTAGAATCTTTGTAATACATAATGTTAAACATGTTCATTATGTGATGGTTTGATTCATATTTATTTACTATAGTTTTAAACCCCTTTTTTCCTATTTTTAATTTGATTTAATTAATTAATTTCTTTCATTTTATTTTTTTTTTTTGTTTTTCTCTTCCTCTTATTACTTTTCCTTGTTTTTTTTTGTTTTGTTTTGATTTTTTTTCTGTTTCGTTTTTGTTTCATTTAACAGCCAACTTTATTTTTTTTCTGGATTGATAGCCAAGTGATGTAATTCGACTATCAAACTACGTTTTATTTTCTTGTGTTAGAAATCTTAACGAAAGAAAAAAACCCACTCTTGTGATTTGATTGTCAGAAAGACAATCGTTTTGTTGTTTTCATTTTTGAAATTCTGCATACTTGATAATCATGTCTGCCCCGCCACCACCGCCACCACCACCTTCATCATTATCATCATCATCATCATCGAAATCATCGGGAGGACGGGCAGCATTATTGGCCGATATTCGTTCTGGAACACGATTAAAAAAGGCAACAACGAATGATCGTAGTGCACCGATTGTATCGAATAGTAATGACCCTTGATGATTATTTTTTCAAATATTCACTCATGATAATGATATGGACCACATCATCATCATATGATTAAAATGATTGTTTTTCTCATGTTTTTTCTCCTTTCTTGTAAAAACAGAGTCATCATCATCGCCAACAACATCGGGATCGAATGTCAATCATACATCTCCATCATCTGGTGGTACAGTAGCAGCACCAGTAGGAGGAGGAACAGCACAACTTGGTCTTGGTGGTCTTTTCGCAAATGGAATGCCAAAATTAAGATCAACTGGCTCAAGGTTATTGCCATCTCAACAACAAACATCTTCTTCGGTTACATCAACAACTAAACGAACATCGCCACCAAAAAGTTCGTCATATATTGCTCAACAACAACAACGACAACAGATTGATTCGAGTCATAACAAATCATACACTTCGTCATATGGAAAACAACATTCATCTAGTCCTAAAAATGCAATAGGCGATAATTCAAATCTAGCTCAAACAAAAAAACGTTTAGAATCACATTTTGGTGCCGTCAATTCAAATTCAAAACCACAATCATCATCGTTACATAGTAAAAGTATACAATCTTTGTGTACGGTCACATCTTCCTGTTCGAACGAATCAACAATCGAACGCTCTGAATCTGGATCATCATCGCCCACATCATCATCATCATCATCATTATCGAATAACGTAACAACATCATATCGACGAAGACATAGTCCGGTGAATAATACAACTGGTACAGGAAAACCTACACCACCACAAAAATATTATACATTGAATCCGAAAGGTAAATCGTCACGCAATTATTCTTCCGATATGCCTGCACATAAAGGTCAAGCACCACCACCACCAGTACCGACGCAAAAACCGACAACATCCGTGTCGACATCAAATTTGCATCGGTCAAATTCACGGCCATCGGTTTCATCGGCAAAACCAAAACCGCCTAGTGTGAAACCCCCACCACCTCCTAAACAAAGTGAATTGAGCTCAAAAATTCAACAACAAAAAGAGTCATCATCGACGACAACGATGAATAAAATGACCAATTCAAGGCCACCAAGTGGTGAACAAAATCGATCTGCTTTGCATCATTTTATGCAAACACAATTATCAAATACGCTTAACACCAATCAGAATTCTGTCACTACAACAGCAGTACCAAAACCACCTGCTCCACCAAGAAATACAAGCAATCCAAATCTGAATCAAAGTCCCGTTGTTACAACAACTTCGACGACTCCAAGACCTGCACAATCGGTGAATCATATTAGTGGAAGTGGAAATGGAAATAAATCAATACGGCCACCGCTCTGCCCACCACCACCACCTCCAAATCGACAATCAAGTGTTGCAACCAACAAGACTACGTTAACAACTGCAGCAACACCAACAAATCAACGATCGATATCGAGTTTACATCCCCATAACAAACCGGCACCACCTACGCCATTACAATTAGTCTTGCCTAATAATTCAACTTCGACACTGGTGGATGGTGGTGTTCTACCTTTAAATCAAACAGATCATTTGCCGCCACCACCACCACCAATTCGTAATGCGTCGATGACCAATAGTCGAGGTTTGTATATTGTGAATTTGTAATTATGAAATAATGACCATTTCTTTCAATTCATCCAAAATAGCCGATACGTTTCAACAACGTTTTTCTGATAAATTTCGTGATTTATCTCTGTTGCCAGCACCATTACCGTTTCGGAATACGATGCCAAAAATTTATCCCAGTCAAAGTAAGTTTGCAGTTTATTTTCTCGAACTTTACAATAATTTATCTAATTTTTAGTGAACAATAAGAATCGTCGTCGTGAACCACCACCACCACCGCCACCTAATCAACATGTACAGACAACAAATGGTCCACAACCACCGCCATTCATATCGGCCGGTGGTCCAATGGATGGTCGTTTCCATATCCGAATCGATAGACAAGTGAATAACTATTGATCGATTGTTGCCAGGAAAATCTTTTTTTTTCATCATTTTGTAATCTCAACATACATGTGATTATCATTTAGGTTTCAGCCATTTGGTTTGTTTTTCATTTTCAGTTGTGATCAAATATCCAAAACAATAATGTTACTGCAAAAGGGACCTTGTCATTTATGATGGCGTAATCTTATATTATGAAACTGGATATGAGCAATATAATTTTCATAGGAAATGTAAATATATTATATGCTTGTGTGTGAGAGAGAGAGAGTGAAACAATGTTTTCACTACGAATACAATTATTTATACCTGGATTTTTTTTCATTTCAATTTTGTCAATACACAAAAAATAATTATTGATTGATTGATAATTTGTTACTTGTTTTTTTCGAATAAAAGAATGTGAATTCTTGGATCAATCATTGGATTGATTCTACTTTATTTGAGCCATCTATTTGTTGATTGTTATTACCAACGTTATTGCTCTCTGTATCTGGATTATTATCATTTTGGATAGGTGGTTTATGCGCATCATCGCCATTGACCAGTAAAGTTTGACCAACTTCGTGTAATATCTGCAATTTTTCATTGTAAAAAGATTAATTTGATTTTTACATCATCAATATGTTTATTATTATTACCTTTAGCTGTAGCTCCAAACCTTTGAGTTCATCATCGATCCATTTACCACGAATAGCACATGTATAAATGATTACAATAGCTAATCGTGATACCGAAAGTAATAATGATAAACAACGAGATTCGAGTAGTCGTGGATCTAATGGTGGATACATAGCTTCGACAACATCATCAACACGTGCACTTATTGTAGGTGCTACACGACCAATTTCGAATAATTTCATTCGTTGTTCAGTTTCAGTAAATCTTGGCATTGCTGACATTGTTGCCGCAACCAAACGTTCAGTAAGATGATGACATCCTTTCAATAAAGCAAGACAATGTGGAATCAAACCGGTAGCATCATCAACCCATTGTGTATTCGATAATATTTGATCGATATTCGGATGAAGCCTTACATCATCCAGTTCCATATTAGCGGCGGTAATATTACCATTCTTTTTACCAACACGTTTTACATTTGAAACAGAAAAACCTTTCGGTGAAATAAGATGTGTATGATCCAGACCGAAGCGTGTATCATCATCATTGAAATGATGAAATGAAGATTTTGTACGAAAAAAGAAATCACCTTTATTAAGGTAATTGCCTCGTTGATAACAAATAATAATCAATGCTATTAATGAACCGGCAAATACAACCAACAGAATTATGATGGCAATTATGACAATATTTTCAATGCTTTCCACTTCGTCCATATCGTCGGTTGTTAGTTCGTTGTTTATTATTTTTTTTTTTTTTTGTTGCTGTTGATTTGATGGCTCAATTGATTATAAATTCATCATATTCAATTGAATTTGAAATTTTTAGATTTAGGCCATTTGATATCAAACATTCATCAATTATCGTTTGAATATTCACACTCAACAAACATCTATCAACAATAAACAACAACAGTCAACATTCAAAAATGACAATTTTGACGGCTGAAATGAAACAGATTTGTTATTGTTTATGATGATGATAATCACTTTTACCACTTTTCGCTTTCGATACTCATCGATTTCGAACCTGTTGGTTAAAGACAAAAATTCTTGCTGACCCAAAGACTATTGCCTATTGGAAAGCTCCGCCTCGTCACGTTCATCCATCATTTAAATCTAAGAACAACAAGAACAGGTTCGAGAACCGAAAATCCGTGAAGGTCAATTACCCTAAGACGACGGTATCATTGGTTACATACACACACACACACAAACACGAGGAATATTTTTGAAATCTTTTTATTAAAATTTGACAATAAAATATTTTTCCTAATAAAATTTCATCATTAATTTAAACAAAATTTTAATTTAAGATTACTTTTGTCAACAAAATCCTAAGATAATAACGGATTTTCGAGTATTCCAGAAAACAACACGTTCAATGGATCAGATTGAATGATCATGAACATGAACGGTCGATCACAAATCATTTCTTCAATAAATTCAGCTGAACGTTTATTTCTTACGGATACTTTGGTAATAGCCATTGCTTCGGTACCTTGTTCATTCACTTCAATCATTGCTTTCTGTATCACTTCGGAAACATAAAGCTTTGGATTATTATTAGCAACATTCGTCAACATTGCAGAAAGATTGGCTTGACATTGATCAAAAATGGATCGTATACCCAATTGACGAAAATGTTCAATCAATTGATGATGAGTTGAACATATTTTGAAACGTGGTAATGATAATTCAACTTTTTGTGGTGTAGTAGCTATCATCTCATCCAGAATGGCTTTCAAATGACCAAGGTTCATTCGATTGACCAATGTTTTAATTGCAGAATTCTTTGGTTGATTATCATTATCACCATTATCATCATCACCGGTATCGTTAGATGGTAGAAGAATTAGCATAGCTAATTTTTGATTCGATTGATAAGGCAATTGAATTGCCTTTACATTCAATGATTCATAATGGCAATAATTAAATATTTCGGTCTTTTGCATCATCCATGTTTCTACTATGGTTCGTCCATCGCTTAATCGAAATGATGCCATATGACTTTTTGATTGTTCAAATTGTTTGGCCCAAATATCTTTGAAATGAATAGCATCGATAAGTAATAAGGCGAAATTTGGATCTAATTGACTAACGATTTGTTCGATACGACCATTGGTTTCTTTGCATACATCCTGATTGATCACACGTACAGCATCACCGGATTTGTTTGGATGAAAATCCAATTGTTTAGTTTGAGCCATAAACATTTGTGATAATGATCGAGCGAATAAAGCATCCAACATTACATCATTACGACAATAAACCAAGCTAGCTTGATGCCATACATTTTTATGCGATTCCAGAAATTCTCGATGTTTACGACCAATTTGTTCCAGAAATGGTACGATTTCTTTGTCCGATAATGATTTTGAATATAAAACTTGCAATAATTCTTCACGTGTTTTATCACGACTGCCCGCAATTAACATTGATAATGCTGTTAACAATGAATAAGGACATAATAATAGATTCGAACCAAAATTATGCAGGCTTTTAGTTAAATTCAAAATCAAATCTATCGAATCGTTGGAACTCATTGCTAGTGGATTATTGTTTGGCTTTATTACAGGTGAAAATTGTCGTCTTATTTTATCATTTGATTTGATCGAGAATTGGATTTACACACCAAGTTCAAACACACTAATCACATTGCCACGCCAAAAAACAAAACAAAACAAAAAAAAACAATATAAATATATCACCGCTGCCATCTCTTATCAACGATTACAATCATAGATTAAATTAAATATATACGTGTAGTATCTGCCCCTGTAATCAAACACAAACGTATGGTAATTATCGAATAAGAATAAATCACCTTGATATGAAAGTGCAATAAAATCTCGAAGATTTGCTATAAATACCAACATGTGTCACAAGGATCGGTCATCATTTGTCCACATTCGTCCGCCAACAACACGACAAACCAGTAACCAGCAACAACAATGAAAATGATTAAATTTCCATATTTCGTTTGCTGTGCGTTACTGATTAGCGTTTGGTCTGAAGCACGTAAGTTTTGAGTTTCTGTAACTGAAACATTTTATGAAATTTAACAATTTTTTTTCTCTACATAGGAGAAATTTTTTCACCAGTCCAGGATATTATCAAAATTAATACGACCGATACGATGGCTACGTTTGAATTACATTGTTCACATTCTAGTACCATTTGTCGATTTGTATTGATAAATGATGATCAAAAAACGATACAAGCTGATATGAATTTGGAACCAAAACGCAGTTATCAACGTCATACATTTGACAATCTTGGTATGTTTTTTAACTGCTATATTAAAATATATCATATAATTTATTCCATTGAATTTACAGAACCGAAATGTTGGTATCGGATAACGAAATTGATAGATGGCAATGTGATTGAAAGTGGTCGATTTCGTACTCGTATGCAAGCACCATCTGTACCAAAGATCAATGAGTTATTTTGTTTGAATCCAAATGAACTTTTAGTTCGATGGTCACCTCCTATTCCTGTCCATCAAGAAGGCAAATATTCATTTCGTATAGAATGGTGGCCAAATACCGATCCTAATCATTTGTATTGGGCAGTTGTTTCGATCCAAAACGATTCACAACAGGTGATCGATCCATATGTAAGTTGAATTGATTTTTAAAATCAAAACGATTTTTTTAATATTAATCTCCATTCAAATTTAGTCTGTGATAATTCGAAATTTATCGAATGAAAATTATCGATTACAAATTCAAAGTCATCTATTCGATACTGAATACCGTTATGATTTATTCAGTGATTTTAGTTCAAATCAAGAATTCAATTGCATCATCAATAATGATATAAATATGGACAATATGGAAATATTATGGCTTGTTTCTATTATATTCTTATCGATATTTGCAACATTGATTTTATTATTAGTCATATGGTATCGTTACAATGATTTTCGATCGACAAAACATTATGATCTGGAACATTTTCAAAAACAATTTCAACTAAATGATATGGACAAGAAATAATTGTTGCCAATTTTTCGAATTCACTTTATGTCTCTTTTGTATAATGTATCTGTAATAAATGAAACAACAATTATAAGAATTTTCATCATTTAATAATTCGAATACAAGATTGAATCATTCGTTATCTATGAACAGGGACAACAATTTTCAAAAAAAAAAAAATTCTTCTTGGATATATGATTTTAGCCGATGATGAATGTTGATAAGTCGATCTACGATAATGGCATCTGAAACTTTTTTTTTTTTGATTGATCGGATCAATGAATGATTTTTTTACTTTATGTAACCGATCGAAAATTGATGTTGGCGGTTCAATTATTATTGTTATCGTTATAATAATAACTTTTTTTTGGTTGAATGGTTGGTTCATTCATTTTTTTTTATTATTATTTCACCGGAAAATTCCATAAATTATGCATATTAAAATTCCACATATATTATCATGTAAAATCAATCTTTTTTTCTTGCTGATGATCAAAAATCTTGAAATGTAAAGACTGTATGTTGTTTGAATAATATGATGATGAAGAGTATTAACAGAAATGGAAAAACTACTTCGCCTACCGACCGACCACTAGAATTCTTCGATAGAAATATTGGAAAAAAAAATCAAATACCGATCAAGATGATAATGTAGCCAAGAAAATGAAAGAAGAAAAAAAGAACAAATTCCACTGGTAAAGAATCTTATAATCAATTTTTTGTTTTCATTTGAATTAACGCCCCTCACTCAATCAAATTCATCGAAATGTGATTGTCCAATACATTGTTGTTGTTGTTGTACAGTTCCATTCATAACCGATGGCCATCAATCGTCATGTCGAACAATAATAACAACAACCACAATATCCCCAATAGCAGGCTTTTTTTTGATCTCATAAAGAATAATCTCAAGAATAATAGGAATAACAACAACAATGATGATGATAATCATAAAAATGATCAATAATGATGATGATGATGATGATAATGGAAACTGAAAACACACCATTCAATTCAATTCAATTCAATTCGATCATTCATTCAATATGATCAATTTGGACATGATTTTAAGGACAAATAATAATCGTGGCCCAATGTATTATTGTCCGTATATTTATTGTTTAATGATGTATAAATTCTTATTTTATTTATTTTTTTTCGTTTGCTTTTTTCCACTATAGATCGTAAATACGAATTTCTCTGTTGTTCAAAAACATTATTCATACCGAAACATTTGGGTTTTCCGTCGAAATTGCTGATCTCGGTCTATTTAATATGGCTAGCATATTTTCTTTTTCTTTTTTTGTTGTTGTTGCTGTCGTTGTTATTGCAGAATGGAAGCTTGTCAATTCTTGATGATTCGATGGAATATATGCTGTTCAAATAGCCATCATCATCATCATCATCAAAATAGAATCGATGTTTTTTTGGATCATTCAACACGAACAATTGACTTGAAGCAGCTATCACGAATCAACGATGCATAAATATAAATCATCGATTCTTCTATTTCCAAACACATAGAGATCAACAATGGCCATTTTTTCTCTACTGATTTTCGGAAATTTTCTTTATTAATTTTCAAGCCTGTCAATTTCATTTTTTTATTTGATCATTTCGATTGTTTATTTCGATCGATTTCATGAAAATGTAATGTTCCAAGTAGGTGTTACCTATTATTGTTACGTTCATATCAACTTTACAGAATTTTTCAAATTTTTCTCAATGTTTAAATCGTATCAGATTTTTTTTTTGAATATTTATCTTTGCTTCTACCATAGAAAATTGAAACATTTCTTCTGGAATGGAACTGAAATACCGATTCTGTAAATATATATAGAAATCAAGTTGTTTCTACATTTATAGTGCTGCTAGCAAATTTTCAACACGGAACGGATTCCCATTCTCAAAAGTATAAAAAGCTTGATATGCCCAAAACAAAATGAAAAAACCCGAATCATTTGATTCAGACGATTCATCAGGATCTTTTCAACGATACTTTCAATTTAATTTTTTTTCCCATTGAATTTTGAGCTGTGAGAAAAAATTCATCACTGATTGTTTTGTGGTGTGTCTGTCTGTGTGTTTGTTTGTTTTAAAAATGTGTCAAACATCAATCATTATCATCTGAGAAAAATTTTCCAATAAAATTTCAACGATAAAAGGTTTGCCATTTTTTTTTTGTTATTGGAAAATTTTCTTTACAAACAATCAGTACAGTTCGATTCCGGAAATCAGAAAACTTCAGAATTCTTTAGACAATGGTTTTTCTTTTATTTATTATCATCATCGTATTATCATTCCACCATCATCTTATCCATTCTGTCCACTTTTTTTCTCTTTTCTATAACATTTCTTGTTTTTTTTTAATGTTGATCATCATAGACAAAAAGACGATGATTCTGTTCTTTTTTTTATTATTTTCATTTTTTTTCAAAAGAAAATTGAAACTAAGAAAAATGGACGCCAATATATCATGTCTTATGCCATTATGATGATAATGATGATTGGTATGATTCTACTACTATATACATGTGTGTGTGTGTGTGTTGTTCAATGATGATAATGGTGGTGGTCCAGTAGTAGTTTGGATTTTTATTTCTTTCAGATTTTTCTTTTCTTATCATGAAATGTTCTATAGACCATGTTTCACGATAATAATCACATAGTATCTATCATGATGAATATCGATAAATGTGGCATGGAAAGCATGGAATAAATAGAACAAAAAAAATGTATGTAGCCGAATGGTCCGAATACAGTTAGTTTGATTTTTTGCAATTGAAAAATTGAAAATCGATTTTCAATAATTTTTTTTTTTACTCGAATAAATAAAAAATTTTCGATTGTCTTGTCTTGTTCACTTCCGCGCATCGAATATTTGAACAACACTACGAAAAAAAAGAGTTTGAAATTCAAAGTTCTTGTACTCGCATGTAGAAATCGGTTTTTTTTCTGGTTATAATTTATCACCTGATCAAAGAATATAAGTAGCGGATGCTCTTGTGTGCTCTTATGGGTCTTTTATTTTTTTCCCTTTTCCGTATCTAGTTGGTTTTTCTATAGACAATAAATTTCATTTTCTTTTGACATTATTCATTGTTTTTTTCCATCTCGACAATGACGATGAATGTTCCTTATATACACACACAGAGAGAGAGAGACTTATTCTGGATAGATTCAATAAGAACAAAAAAGGAGTAAGAATCAAAGTGAATATAAAAAAAATTGATCTCAGAAACCAAACTGAACTGTTTCGATACATCATGATTCAATGATTTTGTTGTTGTTGTTGTTGTTGAGAATATAAAAAAAAATCCAATAAATTATCGGCTTTTTTTCTCTCTAATGCAATGAATTTTATTCCTTTTTCAAATTGAATTTTCTGCTTCTATTTTTTTTCTTCAATTTTATTTCTGCTAATCATCCCTGTTGTGTGCATATTCTGTGTGTTTTCATTCGGTGAAAATGATACGATTTAAAATTTGAATTTTTGTTTTTCTTTTTGAATCACTTTTCTTGGGCCAGGTGTTTCATTTTCTCTCTCTCTCTCTCTTTTTTCATCATCCTGTACGGCTTCAAAGGAGTGAATCTTTTTCGTGCAAGAAGTTTTCATAGTTTACATTCAACATGATGATTAATGGTTGCCTTAATTTTGGTAAAATTTTTCTTCCTCAGTAACCGTGAACTGAGAATCTTTTTTTTTTGCCCCGTTACTATTTTGCTAGAAATCCAGAAGCTTAGTCAAGAAAAAAAATTTACAATTTTAACCAATTTTCGAAATGATCTTTTTTCTTTCTTTCTTTCTTTCTTTATTTCTTTCGATTGAGAATCGAATGAATGAATCCAGGTTTCGTTTTTTTTCTTTATTTGGTTTAGTTTAGTCGTTTTATTTTATGGAAAATTACTTTTTTTTCCTACTGGATCGAAAGAACAAAAAAATTTGTGCCACTTGGGACCTAGATGAAACTTTGTCGAATGTCGATCTATTTTAACTATTTTGTTGTTGCTGTTAAAGTTCCGGTGAAATGCTATTTTCATCCATTCCATTCAGTGTTTCAGTATCTATGAAAATTTTTTTTTTTCATTCGGTAATTCGTTATTCTTTGATGTTTCAAGAAAATGAGAAAATTTATTCAATAATGGTTCGATTGCAACCAAGAAAATGAGTGCAAAGTTCAATGGCTTTGCATAAGTATGTGTGTGTGTGTGCGTCTAATTTGCATCCACATAGAAATTGATTGTCAATTTAATACTTTGATATTCATTATTTATAAGTACAAAATTCAATAGATTTACCAAATAAATTGTCCCAACATTATGGTTGAATTTGTATTATATTTCAAAAAAAAAAAAAAAAAAAAAAAAGAAAATCTTTAAATTGAACAAAAAGAGAAAAAAAACAGATTCCTTTTTCATTTTGTTTTGTTTTTGTTGTTCAAAATCATTTTGATTTAATAGTCCACATCCATCTAACCAATGGAAATGAAATTTTCAATTTAAATCACACTGAAATCATTGTTGTCATTTGCCAGATAATTGTTTGCATTATTTCAGCCAAATTCAAATTCATCGTTTTAAGAAACGTATTTATTTTTCTTTAGGCTGTATTTGTGTCATCGATTCGTAATCGATGATACAATTTAATGTTAATGATGTTATAAATTCTTGAATGCATTTCTCTTCTTTAATTTCTTAATCTGATATATAGACATTAATGGTAAAGAATTTCCAAATAAAAAATAAATAAATTCCATTTGATTCGTTTTATTCTTAGGGTTGAATTTATTTTTTTTGTTTTGTTTTGATCCTTACAGAATCGTTTGCTGTTTGTGTGTGTGTATGTGGAAAAATGCGTCCTATACTTGAACCGATCATCAATCGATCATCATCATCATCACCATTATCATCCGATAATAAACATTTGATTTGCAATCATCATTTTGATGTGAATTTTAATCCAATAATTGTTCATTCTTGTTGTTGTGATAGTTTGAAAAATGATGATGATCATGATGATGGTGATGATGATGAAAAAGAAAATAATCATCTCATTAATCATGAAAAATCAAATGCCAATCGTAAGTCTTCCATTATTATCAATTCAAGATTAGCATCAAGATTGAATGAAAAAAGAAGAAAAATGTTATCATCACCAATATCATCATCGACATCGACATCGACATCGACATTACCACCAATTATTGAACAATTAATGGCCAAATCATTATCACCATCATCAGCATCGATATTATCATTAATTCGTTTAAATTGTCAAAAATGGTGGTTATTCAATCAGATTGGAAAATGGAAAAATTTTAAATTTTTCAATAATTTCCAATCATCATCAACATCATCATCATTGACCATTTTAACATATTCTATTGTTGCAATTATAAGCATTGTTTGTTTTATCAATTCATTAAATGGTGATTTTGTTCATGATGATATACCAGCCATTGTAAAGAATGGTGATGTACACGGTACAACAACCATATGGCAATTGTTTAACAATGATTTCTGGGGACGGCCAATGTCCGATGTTGAATCACATAAATCTTATCGTCCGATAACAACGTTCACATTCAGGTATTTTTTTTTATATATTTTTTGTCTCCAACTTTGAAATTTATTATATCAAACTAACTACCAGTAGTAGTAACAGTAGTAGTAGGCTATCATCAGAATCCATTAATATGTGAAGAATATATTCCATGTTCAAGAGAGAGAGAGAGAGAGAGAGAGAGAGAGAGAGCTCTTATCTTTTTGGATACATGAATGTTTTTTTTGCTCTTCTCTGCATTTTGTTTGAATCAGAGAAAAAAAAATTATCTCAAAAAAAATCTATCCATTTTTTTTGTTTTTTGGAATCCATTCACTGAATATGAATGGTAATCATCATCATCATCATCATAATATCTGGGATAATATACACACACGGGTAAAACATTTATACCTGAACCGGTTATGATATAAAGGAATTCTCTTGAGTCTCTATATATATGTTTTTCATTTGCTTATCACGATTTCAATGCATATTGCATAGTGAAAAAAAAACAAATAACCAAAAATCATCATTCAATATGATGATTGGTCGAAAACATAATATTTGCATTAAATACTAGGAAAAAAATAAAACATACCAAAATGTTTTCATCATACACACACACACACACACACAAATGAATCTTCATAATTGTTCAAACTCTATATATCATTATTATTATGGCCATTATGATTATGAAACAGAAAAAAAAGAGTTGAACACACACACACACAATATTTATCTGCTATAGAATGTGTTGAGAGAGTGAGAAAAGAATTTTTGTTGTTTTTTTCCTCCTCCCCCCCCCACCAGAGATTTTATGAATCGGATCCCATATAAATCAAAATTTTGGAGTTTAAGTTTTCGTATAATGAGAAATGAATGAAAAAAATCTTTGAAAATCTTTGAAAGTTTGAAAGCGGAAAAAATGATTTTTTCTTTCTTTTGTTACACACACACACACTAATAGCTCAATTCAGTCAATCGCTGTTTTTATATATATATTTTCCGATTTATTTTCATGATAGAGCCTTAGGGCCGTCAATTTTGTTTTTGTTTGATTCATTCAAAATGAAAAATCAAAATTCAGTCATCATCATTATTTTATTCTTTAATTTGACTCGGAATTCGTTACTGATGATCTTCTGGAATAAAAAAAAACTTTAAATTGTGCCATTTTATAACCTAAAGCGATAAAATGCCACGATGATCATAATGATGATGATGATGGGTAGAAAGAAAAAAAATTGCCTTACCTGAAAATTGGTGGAAAAACATGATGATGCATGTGAAACAAACAATGTGAAACAAAGAACGGAAATAATTTCACCATCATTTTAAGTGGGTGTAGTGAATTGAAAATTTGAACCAAAAAAAAAACGGAAAAATTTTATCGTATGTAACATGATGATGATGATGATGATGACAAGACAGAGAAACTTGTTATCTTTGTTGTTGTAATGCTCCAATATAATGGTTGTCATCATCATCGAGTCAAAATGCCTCATTTGCACACACACACACACACATCATTTTTGTTTGTCATTTTATTTGCACCCATATTTTCATCTTTTGACACCTAACAATTAATTCATTTTTTCCCATGGTCCCCTTTTTTTTGTTCTTTGGGTTTTAAATTTTTTTTTTTTTTTTTTTTCTATATATATATCGTGTCGTTTGTCACTTTTTTTTCACATGTTATTATTTCATTTCAACATTCAAAATTTTTTACATGTAAAAATATGTCTTTGTTCAACATTCAAGAAGCAGCTGCTTTTTTTGTTTTGTTTTGTTTTGATTATTATTGTCATCTTTTTTTTTTTTTTTTTTTTGGAGGAATTTTTTCGTTTTTTTTGTATTGTATTGTATTCGCTGGAGAGTAGAAACACATTTCTAATGTCTTGTCATCATCATAATAATCATTTCCGTCTTAAATGATGATGATAACGGTACTGTTGTTGTTGTTGTTGTTGTTTTGATGTATCCAATCATTGTTTGTGTTTGTATTCTCAAAACGGAAAAATTTTGGAATTTTTTTTAAAAAAGAAAAAAAATGAAGACAAAAACTATTCAGACAATCATTATTTTTGATGTAGTTTGAGCAAATTTCCTTATTTATTTTTTTTTTTTTTTGCGAAATTCCATGAATACACACACACACACACACACACACTCATAATGAATGAATTAATGTAGGCATCCTTTTTCGGTTATTCTTCAACTTTTGAATGAATATTACATTATTACATTTTTTTTTCTTCTAAAAAAAAAAAATTTTTTCACATACAAACACATGCACATCACATCAATTGAATGGATGACAACATGCTGCTCTCGTCCCCGTAGGAACACTGTTGTTGTTGATGTTGCTGTTGCTGTTGCTGGTGATGATGATAAAGAAGAAATGAATGTGGAATTCAATGAATAAATAAATGATTGAATGAATGAACAACAACAACAACAACGACAACAACAATCTAAAAGATTGTGAAACAGAAAAATAATCATCAGTTATAGGAACCGTTATATTCAACCTGGGAAATCTTTTTTGTTTGATTATTATTGTTCCATAGGTCTAGGTCTATTGTGATTATGGGAAAAAAAATCATGGAATGAAAGAAAGAATTCTGTCTGTGAATCTTTTTTCTTTCGATTCTGTTCTGTCTTTTTTTGCTTTGGAGAATTCTTTTCTTTTTTTTTTGGTAAATAAATGTGTGTGTGTCTGTGTGTTTTTACAACAACATGTCACACACACATCATGACATTCTTTATCTTTTGAATTTTTTTCCTATTACAGATTCTTAAGTTTGAACAAATTCAAGTTTATTTTTGGTGATTGTTCTGTGTGTGTGTGTGTGTGTGTGTTGGTGATGGTTTTCTTATTATTCACTGGACACAATGACATTCCAATTTCTGTTCCATAAAATTGTTGTTTGTTTGTTTTTTTTTACTTCACAATGGTTGACATGTCCATTTTATTCTAGAATGATAATATCGATTATTCTTATGGTTCACATGATTTTGACAAAATCACAACCACAAAAAAAAAAAATTTTTTTTTTTGATGATGTAAATCCTGGTCAAAACAACAATAAAATAACCAAAAAAAGAAGAGAAAAGAATTACAGTGATTGTCAGTGGAGAAAAAAACCTATCACTCTATGTGATTATTATTATTATTGTTTTGAAAGTCTATTATTATTATTATCAAATAATGGTCCTGAAAATGAATTTTGATGAGACAGAAACAGAATACATTGACATATTCTGAACACCCATTCAAATGGTGACTGTTGTGGTGGTGGTGGTGGTGGTAGAAGCATCAAATTTGTTTCATTTTTCTTTACTTTTTTTTCTGGAATCATGCTGTGATTTCGATGAATATATTGTTTTTTATTTCACCATTAAAATAGTATTTTCTTTTGCAAAGTTTATTTTGCCCCCAAAAAAATGAAAAGTTTTTTTTTTTTTCATAAAAAATTTTCCACCTCGTAAAAGGTATTATTATTCGATGTGTGTGTGTGTGTGTGTGGTGTGTGTGTGCATCACTCAAGAATCATACTTACAATTACAATTTTTTTTTCTTTGCACGCGTATTTTGATTGTGTTTGTGTTAATGTTACTGTGCACAGGAAAAAAGAAGAGAGAAAAAAAAACCGTTTTCAATTCCCAAAGCTACGTTTTTGGATGTCAAATTCAGATTTTTTTATTTTATACTTTGCTTTGATTCCTATTTCTATTTTCTATTTTCATTTCAATCATCATCATCAGAATGTGGGTAGCACACACACACACACACATTTACACTTTTCTCACTTTGGTGATTCTGTTTTTTTTCACTGGGCATTTGATTCTTGTGTTCTTATAGAATTTGGTTTCTTTATTTCTTGCACTACCAAAAATGTGAAGAGCTTTTTTTTGTTCCTTTCTGTTTTTGATTTCTATTCCAAAAAAAAATATGGTCTATGTATGAATGAATGAATGTGAGTGCATATTGTTGTTGCATTACACATAGAGAATGTCAATCAATTGCCATGCTAATTGGACCGATTTCCTATTATTATTATTATTATTATTTTTTTATTCGTGAGGTTTTTTCGCGTGATTCTGGTTTCAGAATTTTTTTTATCATCATCTGCACATGGTATTACACTGTGAAAGAATTGTGAAATAATTGAACTTTTGATTGTCGTCTTTTTTTCTCATTGACATTTTTTTTCATGTGATTACTAATCGATTCGATTGGCTGATTAATTGATTGATGTGATGTATCGATTTTTTTTTGTTGCCACACTGATGTTTATATATTGACAAGAAAATTGAAAAAACTAAATGACGAATTAAATTAAATTAAATTAAATTTTTGAATCAAATTGATTTGTAATTAAATTAAATAACTTTCTATCGTACATTAGCCATTGAAATTAATGATGATGATGATGATCATTATCATCATTGAAAGAAAGAAAGAAAGAAAGTGAAAAAGAATGGCTTTGATGTGTTTTCATCTAATAGTTGCAGAGAATCATTTAAGTTCCACAAGGTCGTAAATTTTTTTTTTTTTTTTTTTTAATAGCCATGATTCGATTAATTCGGGTAATCCAAAAATGCCCATTCGGTTCATAAAGCAGAACCTATCGTTTAATGTTTTGGTATGTGTGTGTAAGAATCGATTGATTTCCACCATTTCTTACCTGCCATAATTATATTCGTTGGTTAATGATGAAAAGAGAGAGAGAGAGAGAGAAAAAAAAAAAAGAAATTAACTTTTACCAACGATAGATAATCGAACCAATGGTTCCTTGAATATTGATCCTTATATTTTGTAATTATAGCACAACTTTAACTTGATTTGATCAAATGATGCTGAAAAAAAAATCGAGATGTGTGTGGGAAGTATTTGTTTGTTGTATGGAAAAAAAACCAAAAATGCTTGAGTTTCGAGTTTTTTTTTTGCCCCAATATCCACATCGAATCTTGCTCTTTATACTATGATGATGAATCATACAAAATGGGCGTATGTGTGTGTGTGTGAAATATCATT